TGTTCGCCGTTTGTGAACGTCCCTCTCCTTCTCTAGCGCGTTACTTCCGAAATACTTTGTGTTATCTGCAACGACATCCCTGCGCCTCGACGCTCTACTAGTCGCCGTTGTCGTCACCGTCGTCGGCGATGGTCATTAATCGTTATCAGCGCTGTCACCGTCGTTATCGGCCGCGTCCAGAGGACCCAACAGTCGGTTCGCACAGCGATCGAATCTGATTGACGGAGACAACGGCCCGAGCGAGAACGTCCCAGATAGCAATGAGTGTCCAAAAGACATCGCGACGGTATTTTTAAGACACTTTTTAGACGTGCATGTCTAAAAGACAACTTAAGGCCATCTTAAAGATGTCTTCTAGACACGCATGCTATCTGGGATGAGACAGAGATAACGCGGGGAAATGCACAAAAATTTCTAAGCGTAGACGACACCGCGTTCCATGAGATTAAATTCAATTTCGTAAGATCGAATGCCAATTTCAAAACCGGGCGTACCTCGTACACGCTCCATTTTCTACTCGCAGTCTGATACGGGCTTAACGAACCCTTTAATCTCCCGGCTCGTAAATCCACCAATCACCTTCAATTGCACCAAGACCGTTACGTCACGACGTGACAGCGCGCCTGCTGAACACTGCCTTTGTTCTCGTTATCAGGTCCGTCGCCGTCCTTAAAGGCCTCTGGCGCTGAGCGAGTTACCAGGCTCGCCTTCTCGACCAGCGAGAAAACACTCTTTCCCTCTTTCACTCTCCTTCTCTCTCCCCGAATTTCAGCGATCGTCACCCTCCCACACGTCGACTTCCTGTCGGCGAGGCGTGCTGCCAACAGCACACGGCTTCCTCGTCGTTGTCCCTCTCGACCCGCGCGCGTCCGTCTCGCCGCGTCCCTTCCTCCGCCCTTGCCGGCCCTACGCGGATCGCGGATGCAGACGTAGAAAAATAACGATCGCGCAATCCGCACCGGGTTACACATACGCGCATATATGCCTGTCTCCTTTGTTTTATCTCGCCTACTTAAGCTTACGCTGCCGCGTGACTGCGATAACGCTCCCGTTAATTCGTTATACGACGACGAATGCTCGCTCGTGCGTGCGTGCGTGCGTGCGTGCGTGCGAGCGAGGCGAGGCGAGACGCGCTCGCGTGAAACTTGTCTTCCGACCGACATTCCAGGGGAAACGATAGCCGGCGTCCGAAGAAAAATGCGGCGTTCGGGGAGCGAACGCTTGAAACAGCAGTTTTTGTTCGAGCGACTAATAAAATGTCAAAGGAAGAAAGACGCGGGCGCCCTCCGCTCGTCTCGTCCCGCACGTACAATGTCCGCCTATCTTTCTCTCTTTATGTATATATGTACAATATGTAACATTATCTCTTACGAACACGGCCGTCGCAACGCCAGCAATGTCGTCATCGTCGTCACGCGTTATAATAAAACTCCGATGCTGCGTGCGGAGACCGTTCGAATTTGCACACGTTCAAAATTTGCCTTGGTGATCTGCGGGTGTGGGTTCGCGCGGAGGCGAAACGAAATCGGCGCTCGCTTCGTGGCGGAATCACGACGACGACTGCGGCGATAACGAGCCACGGTGGAAAGAATACATCGCCCAAGGAAAGTGAAAAGTCACGATGACGTCAATTTCATGTCTCATCGACTAAATTTATGCCATATTTTGGTCGATACGACTTCAAATCGACGCCATCTTGACTTTTCCTTGGGCCACGTGTCGAACGCGACATATCGAAGTTAAGAAATTCCGGCGCGAGAATTGTTTTCGCGAGCGGGACAGACGTTTCTCTAAAAGTCCGCGCTGGACCGCGCGTCGGAAACTGATGGATCAGAATCCGACCGAGCGGATGGATTTGACTTCATCCGTTTCGCTTTTTCACTGGTCGAGTCCTAAACTCTCCGATTCTCGCGGCCAAGCTTCAAACGTTCCGAAGTATTCCTCTTCTCCTTTCTTCCGGAAAAGGTAGAAGGAGAGGAGAAACACCTCGAAACGTTTGCAGCGGCGGCTTCCCAGCGAGAACATCGAGGTCGAGTCATCGTCAATCGAAGCCGCGTTCCAACCATCAGTTTTCGAAAATAATTAAGGTTTGGAGCCTCAACACGTTCTGCACACTTTTAACATTTTACACAGAGAGAACTGCCAAGTTAACTTATTTAATACAAAATTTAATACGAAAGATTAAGATCCAAGACTTGTTTAATTGTTTTCTGAAAACTGACAGTTGGGACGCGATTTCGACACCGGCGACGTTCGACTCGGCGTTCGCGTTCTCGCACCGGGTTGGCCGCAACCTTTAAAGAAATGGACCCTACGAGTATCTCTTCCCACCGTGGCAATCGCATCGTTCGAAGAAAAACGATCGTCGGGACGCGCGCGACTTCGACAGACACGTGCGCGATAAGGCGCGTGGATCCGTACGCGATTCCGCGCCAAGTCTTGTGCGTAAACCCGTCTGGTTCTGCGTTTATTGATTCCGCCGCGGGGGCGTTAAAAATACCTCGGGGGGGACACCGAGAAGCAGGTAAGCGAAGGGGGACTCTCGCTCTCGCGACGGCTTCGACGATGCGCGGCGATCAGGTCCCGCGGGGGGGATCGTCGAGACTGGTTGCCTTCAACGACGCGACAACGCACTGGGGAAACCGAAGTCAGATTGCTTAAGATTGCTGTTATTTAAAAGGCACAACGTAGGGTTTCTTTTTTCTCATTGTCCGATTAGCGAGAATACCGCGCGGTCCAATTCGTTTCCTCTCTCTCTCTCTCTCTCTCTACGCAGAAAAGCTCTCGCTCTCTATGACATTTTTTTTCCTGTCTTGTTCCAGGCTTTTGAAGATTACGCGGCTTCGGAGCACGAAGCGAAACACCCTCGCTACTGAAAGAGCAATGCATTTTCGGAGCGACCAAACTATATATTACATAACGGCAAAGTTATCCCTTTGTAATTGAAAACTCCGTACTCTCTGCGCGCCGTATACACGTAATATGTACGTGCACATATACGACAATTACAATAATAATAATACAATTACAACAACTTCCGTTCAAAGTATCCTCGGGGGGTGTCGCCGGGGTGCTGCGGGATTTGCGACGCGAGACGGGTTTACGCGCGCGGCGATCGATGGCGATTATTCGAATAACGATAGACTAGAACGTATTAATTTATTCCGAAGCGCGTTTATACTACGTCGTGTAAGACTGCGTGTAAGTTTTGCAAATGTGTAAATATCTAGCTGACGATGAATCTGCGGAATCGCGCCCCCCTCCCCTCCCTCCCCCCCTCTCCGTCCCCTTCAGCCGTTTCGCCAAGAGCGAGTTGAAAGAAATCGCCTCTCTCTCTCTAATTGATTATCATTTTTGTTCTTCGATGCCAATGCGCGCGCGTGCCCTTGCGTTCGATCCGCGACGGGGGATCGCGACGCGGAAGGGTCGAAAGGGAAGGGCGTTTGGGAAGAGCGGCGAAAGAGCGGAGGCACAGACAGGCGGATAGGTAGAGAGATAAATGGGGGGGGGGGGCGAGCCCGCAAGAGTAGAATCCGAAGAGAAGAAAAAGGAGCGACGGTACAATTGGGGGTCTCCTGCCTCCACCGGGAGATGCAGGAGTCTCGCACACGTGGCAAACGTGGATCGTAAAAAAGCCAGAAACGCGGCACCGGGAGGACGCGTCGACTCGTCGCCGCGTCGCGAGTCGAGATTAGCCCCCCGGGATGTGTTTCGCGCGGGGGGTTTAGGGGGAGGGGGTATCGTCACGGCGAAACATCCTTGGGGGTCGCGCACTCGCGTACGAGGGGGTTGATTCGCGTCGCGCGGAGCGACGGTGCTCGACGGTACTGGGGGGGGGGGGGGCCGGTGGGCGGGCGAAAGGATGGGCCCCTTCGGGGCCGACGAGAAGAAACGGGGGGGGCTGGAAGGGGCGGGAGAGAAGGTCTGTGGTACCGGAGCGGCGCGATCGCCAGCGTCCGCGCACCGTATTTCCGCGAGAGACGCAAGCCGAGCGTATGAGTTCCTCTTCCGCCCGCGAGCTTTCCTCCGCTCGTCTTCTTCGTCGTTAATCGAAAGTGATGATCGTCATCATCGTCATCATCATCATAATCATCATCGTCGTCGTCATCGTCATCGTCATTGTCATCATCGTCCTTTCGCGCCTGCGTTCCCTTCGATCCCTACTACTTGGCGATTACACGTACCGTTCTCCAAAGCGGACGTCGCCGCGACGATAGGGGCGTCGCGGGGGCGGGTAGGCGGGTACTGCTGTAAAACGGTGTAAAAAATCCAAACGGCGGATATAGAGATTCGCAAGATTGAGCTAACGTGATACAAGATGGTGTAGACAAGAGGTCGCGCTGCCCGATCCGCTCCGGCGTCGCCCCGCGATCCGCCGTCGATCGCTGTCGCGCGAGCGGTCGAACGACGGGGAAGGGAGGTGAAGCGATCGTGACGTTACACCCTCGTGAGTCTCGGTGTGGGGGAAGTCGGCTCGGAGAGGACGTCGCGACGCTTCGCTTCCTCCTCGTCGCTCCTCTTGGTCTCTTCTCTTCCTTCTTCCGTGTCGCGGCGCTCACGCGCCTCCTCCCGTCGATCCGGACGGCACGACAAGATCCGATCATCGAAGAGAGCCGCTCAATTCCGGCGTCTCTGACGAGTCTCATCGCAGTCGCAGTCTCCTCTTTAACTAGCGACGTGTCTCTCTTTCTCTCTCTCTCTCTCTCTTTCTCTCTCCCAACGGTCGTGGCTCGTTTAAAGTCGATTTAAAGGCAACTCGTTGGAGGAATGTTATTTATACAACTATAAGGCTGTCGATGGAGAGCACACGCGAGGTGCCCGCCCGGCCACTACTCCGCGCGAGCAGTGCGAGCGGCTAACGGTGAGTAATGTGATCGTCGTCGACGATGCTGCTGCTGCTGCTGCTACTGCTGCTCCTGCTGGCCCTGCTGCGGCTGCTGCGGAGGAGCGATTTGCGGCGCACGGACGGCGGCGGTGGCGGCGATAGCGACGATGGTAGCTGCGGCGGCGGCGGCGGCGACGACGACGATGGCGATCAGACGTCCGCGGTTCTCGAAGTGACGCTCGGCGATCGGCTGTGTATGACGACGCGGTGACCGTTCTTCGTGACGTAGCCGTCGCTCTCGACGAGCACCTTGGTCTGCCGGGCGCACAGGTCGGTGTCCGGGTCGTCGCTCTCCTCGCTCGGTCCGCCGAGACGCTGCTGCTTGTGCTTACGCCAAGCGTTCTGTATGAGACGGGCGCAGTACTCCTCGCGTTGCCGCCACAGGGTGGATGAGACCGGCTCGTAATCGGCCTCGTCGGGCCGGGCCTGGACCTCGCCCAGCTCGGCCGACTCTTCGATCGGATTGCCCTTCCGTGCGAAGAAGTCCTTGGTGAGGGCATCGAGGATATCCACGCAAAACATAAGGTCTCCCTTACATATGGGGATATCCATCGACACGATCTTATACTTGTTCGGCTTGTGTATCTGCAACGGGGGCTCCAGTACGTCCAAAAAGTCTGACAGTTGGTCGTATCTGATGTATTGCGTGCCGTCCGGATCGAACTGCTGCCAAATCTCGTAGTACATGTCGTAGTCGTCGTCCGTCAGGCCCTCCTGCACGTCCTCGGTGGCCTGCGAGTAGTTCTCGAGGATCACGGCGATGTACATGTTGATGACGATCAGGAAGCTGATGACGAGGTACGAGAGCAGGTAAGCGATCCCGATCGTCGAGGACCCGCAGTTGCCCGGGTAGCCGATCTCGTTGTTCGGCTCCTGGCAGTCTTCCTCGTTTATTATGCCGTCGAGAACACTGTCCCAACCGGCCGAGGTTGACATCTGTCGATACGTCATTATTATTTATACAATTCTCGGTAATACAGCAACTAGAGAGACTAAGCCTTGCCTTCCATTTTTATCACTAAGATATTACTAAAGGAAAATGCATTTTCTGTCGTGTCAAGAGAGTAAATTTAGAAAATTTCCATCCATTTCAAATCAAGCTCACCTGAAACAGCAGTATCATTGACTGCCCGAATGTCTTGAAATTGTACACGTCGTCCAGTCCGCTCTTGTCTTTGACGTGCATGAAGAAAGACATCCCGAATATCGCGAAGATAAACATCACCAAAAACAGCAATAGGCAAATGTTGAAGAGGGCTGGCAACGACATCGCCAGGGCGAAGAGAAGGGTTCGGATACCCTTGGCACCTTTCACGAGTCGAAGCACACGGCCGACTTTTGCCACTCTCACTACACGAAGCAAAGTCGGCGACACGAAATATTTCTCGATAATGTCGCTGAGCACCAGACCTGTCGGGATGAAAATTCACATTTCAGCAAACTCGGGATCCTTCAGATTACAGATTAACATCGAGGACAAAAGCGGGGGTGCGGCGATATCACTTGTGACGCACAAATGATGTACAGAATTCATTCATAATTCATGAAATTGTCGTGCATCGTCGGACGAACGGTGGGATCATGCGTCTGGATCATCTAATTGCGTAGCTATTGTTAGTTAACGTGACTAGTAAAGTGGAGGGTGCGAGTCAGAAAGATACAGGGTTTCTCAAGTATACGTTTCTATGAAAGTTGCTCGCATTTTTCTTGCAGGCTGTTCATGTCATACGGAAAATAATGTCTAAAAGTCGCATCCTTCTTCCCGATGAAAGGCAAATAAATCCCCGCGAGACACAAACGTTCGTATTTGACACTCTGTTTTCCGCTCCAAGAAAATATTTGCGTTATAGATCGTGTCCTCGGATCATTGAAAAGACTCATGCGCGTCCTAAGGACTCGGATATGCTAGATTCTTTCGGTTTGGAAGTGTCACAAAATCATAGAAAGCGTACATGGAAATCAATTCAAGTATATGGAAGCTCTGTCTATCGTATAATCTAATTGAAATGATGCGGTGCCTTATGAGAGATGAATTTGAATAAGTTAAAAGTTCCTCACTACTGTCATACAAAAGTAGAGATATTCTACAAATCGATCTATGTGTTCTGGTAAAAAGCGAAAACCTAAAATCTATTTTATACAGACCCGATCTTACCCGACATTTCGATTAATGATCGTTGCGACATCGATTAATGTGCCGAACGGCTCGTGCAAAGCGTCACGTCGCGATCATTACTTATTCCGACTCGATGCTTAACAATCGTTAATTCTGAACAACTGCTCTCGACGCGAAATTCTCATTCCAAGATACGACACGAAGTGACGCCGAGCACGACGGTTCGACTCTGGACACCAAACGACATTTTGGTAGGGCACGAGTAGGGTTGTGAGGGGAGAGGATTGGCACGGTGGGAAGTAAGATTCAACATCAATGTAAGGCTACGTAACGTAATGATATCCATCAGTCGTTGAGACACGAGCGAAACGTTAGGCCTGTTCGCTTGATCGTGAAAGAGATCAAAGAGAGAATCTGCGTGCATTATGAAAAAAAGTATAGCTGAGAGAAACGTGACAGCGTGGCATGCCGATCTCTCCTCGCTCGTGATACAGGATGCTAAGTCTAAGAGTATACTACGAGAGGCGAAGACGATGTTCATTCTCGTGGAACGAGCAGCGAGAAAGGGAAGCTAACAGGCTCGCGACATTATTCATATTTCGCTTTCGTTTCGCTCGGGTCATACGACTGGAGCAACCATTACGTTACATTACCTAATATTGACAATATAACAACAACAAAATCAAAGAGATTCCATGGCTCCTTGAAATAGTGGTAGCGAAGAGCGAAGATCTTCATGAGACACTCGCTGGTGAATATCACAATGAATATCATGTTGAGATAGTCCAGAACGTTGCTGAACGTTTTGCTCTGCTGATAATGGTCCATTGTCATCGTGAGCATGTTGAACCCGATGAACAGCATGATTACCATATCGAACTTTTTGTCCGTCACTATTTCAAACACTATCGCCTGTGGCCGCCACTGTGAACAGTCGAGAAAGAACATTATGCCGATTTGTAACATTTCTCTCACGCGACATTAAGAAAAATCGTTCCTATTATTTTACTAAGGCCCGGTTTCACCAAACGTTGCTGAACTTTGATCTTAATTTCATTCGTGTTTGTCTCGTTCTAGAGTAACAGTTGGAAAGGGACAAAGAACGAATTAAGCTAAGCTTAAAGTTAAGCGGCCTAAGTATGTTATATACATCCAAGTCGATTGATAATCTTTTTCAAATTAATTAATAATATCGCGCGTAAAGTTCATACTATAAGTCTATGATTTTTGTACACCACAAGTAACTCGCTTACATTTCTCTTTTAATTTATTATAGAGAACGGAGTCACTTTATTGACAAATTATATTTACTGTAACACAATGTTGTTACATTTTTACAGAAAATATGATTTCACGAATATAAAGTAATAACGGATGCAACAGCCAAGACAGGATGTTAGCGTCTAAATGATTTTTAATTTTTTACATTTATTGCTTTTATTATTAATTTATTATTACATCTATCTCATCCAACATGTTTCGGTGGTCGAATTACCGTGACGTGCCGCATTCACAATAAATGTAAAAACTTAAAAATTCTTTAGGCACTAACGTCCTGCCTTGGCTCTTATATCCTTTATGTTTGCGATTTCACGTCAGAGTCTTATGAATTTTATTTAAGTTTGGCTAGGCAGCAATTAAAATTTGAAATAGCCAATCGTAATCGTCTATGCAATCGCAATCGCGAGTCACTAGTGTGATACGAGCATAATGCGTGTCGCAGAGTCGTAGTCGTAAGAATAGTCGACTGCGATTGGTCAATTTCGTCAGACACATAAGAATTGACCAATCGTAGTCGACTATTCTTACGACTACGACTTTACGATGTCTATGTAGACGAGGCTTCAGGCCTTGCATTCACGCCTTCATCGACGCTCTACAACTCAAACGATATCTGTATTTCCATCGCAAGGAGGTAACCGCGAAGTGAGACGATTCGTCACTTTTCGTGCAACCGTAAACTGTAACGCGTCGCCTTTCAGAATCGGCAACTTCCCAGCGAACACCAGAGACGAGCTCACGAGACGCAGAGCGCGAGACGCGCCCGTTGAAACTGACGCGATACGCAAAGAACAAAATACTCGCGGGGCAAGAAAAAACATCGGCCCCGTAACGGTGGGTTAGAGGATTTCGTCTCGCGGCGTCAAAAAACACGTTGGCCTTCGGCTCTGTTTACGTACGGGGTACGTAGCGTCGCGCCGCCCCGCGCCGCGCCGTACGTACACAAGGTCGCGCCGTACGCGCGACCGGTAGTCGCGTCATTCGCGTGCCGACGCTCGGGCGGGTTGGTAGTGCGCGTCGCGTCGCTTCTCGAAACACGGCCACGGTAGGTACGGCGCCAGAGTGCGATCGTTCTCGGCGAATCCCTGTGGAACGTCGACCGCGCGATCATTCAACTCCCGCAGCTAACCAGCCGACGGCTCCGTTTCCAAGCGAACGTTTGGTTGGAGCGAGGATCGGACGCGGGAGCTGACTGATCGCGCCGCGATTTTCTGCGTGCATTCCGCTCTACGAGTTCGCACCCCGATGCCGCGTCTAATGTTCGTCGACGACGCGTCGCGTAAGCTCGTCGGTAAGTTCGTTACAATCTGCGAGATTCGCTCGCTCGGAAGCGTCGCTCGCACTCCGCGGGTATTCGGCTTTGATATCGCGTAGCTGAGCGACGCTTGGGGGGGGGGGGCAATTCTGGAAGGAAGCGATCGTCATCGTCGGCTGCGTTCGGCTGGGAAAATCTGCCTCGCAACTTTGCCGTACGATTCGAGAATCCGATTGACGCGGCGCTCTTAGTCCCGAGTGAATTCAAGAGCACACGTCCATCGGATTCACGAATTTTACAACAGTTTGGGGGGGGGGGGAGGAAACAGCTTTTTCCGTCGAACGTAGCCGTTCGAGGGAGCGAAAAGTGCAGGAAGGTGGAGCGGCGGCTGCACCGCCGCGGCCGCTGGCGCCTGAAGTTGGCCGCGCGAGCTTCGAATTCGCGTCGCCGCTGGACGGTTGGAGACCGACCCGCCATGTTAATTCGCGAGTCGTGTCGGCGGTCATTACGCGCCGTTGCTCTCCGGAATGTGACAAATCGCGCGCTCGATCAGCGTCGGCGGTGCCGCGTAGTGAGTTTCGTCGCGATCGCGCGCGTAGTGAAACTTCGGCGAATGCGCGTGTGTGAACCTGTGCGCGCGGAAGGAGCAACGACGGAGGAAGCTGAGAGGAGGACACGGCCTGGGGGGGGGGGGGGGGGGCGTCGGGCAACAACGCGGCACCTGAGAGGTGAGTAACGCAATTACATTTAGGCTTAGTTTCACGGCGCTTAACCTTAATCTTCCCAGCGAGAAACGAATGGGTGTCGATTGACGTCAATTCGACATCGTTTCGACGCCGATCGACGAATCGTTTCTCCCTAGGTTAGTTCGACTCGCGTTCGTCTCTTTCTGAAGCAACAGTCGGAAAGAGACGAGGAACGAATTAAGCTACGCTTAAAGTTGAAGCCGCTCGAACGGCGCACTTTGCCTTTTGCGTGTACCGTGTCTCGCGATGCCATAGAAAATATCTTTTCTTTGTTTCAAGAGGCGTTTACTTTTCGATACGTAGATACGGAAATGTTCGACGTGTTTGACGTACGGTTAAATTATTGATTGATTGAGGAACCGCGGAGTCGATTTCTTTTTAGCGAATCGTCGACAAAAGTTTTTTTCTAACAAAATTTTCCGCCGATTAACGATTCCCGTTAAATATTTCGCCGACGAACGAATTTAATTCGCTGAATCATTATTTTTTTCTTAAATATCAATTGTCTCGAAAGTTTTATAATATGGATACACTTGCGTTTTACAGATCAACTTCTGCGCTACGAGTTCAGGTGCTGTGCCATCGGTCGGTGAGTGATCTTTAATTAATCTCGCGGCAATGAATTTATGAAAAATTTCATAAGATTTGTACATGAAACTGCCTGAAAATAGTGGAAGACGAGGGGGAAACCGCTGACCGAAATTTTGTTGAAAACTCCAATGCCCAGCGGGCATTACTTTATCTTATTATCTCATTTTGTCTTATTTTATCAATGCCCCGGCAAGGCCGAAAAAATGCCTAGTAATGCCCAGTAATGCCGCGAATCTGTACATACGCCACTACGCCCTCAGCGGTTTCCCCCTCGGCCGAAGAAGTAAGAATCTTTTCTCAATCTTTTCTTTCTCGTAATAAATTCATATCTTCACATACTGGTAGCGATATATCGACAACGAATTTTAATAATGCTACTTATTTACTATCGCATCTTTAACAGAAATTAAACATTGGAATTAATTGAGATATAAATAAATTTAATATTTCATAGATTCATTGCCTCGCAATGGATGGGCTAGGATAAATTAATGTAAATATTTAACCCTGAACTATGCGCGCGTACGGAACCCGCAAAGCCGATTTTACTATCTCGGCAGCGCTGATCGGTAACTTACTGGCACATTTTGTGCATTACGAACGAATACTGGTTACAAAGCGCACGAATCGTCATGTTTATGGAACACGCGGGTATAATTGCAGACGGATTTAAGACAGCAGAAGTGCATCAGTTAAGAAATAATAAAGAACAATAGAATGATCCAAATAAAAATATGTTACTCTCGACATTTCAGTAAAGTAAAATCTAACATTTTCTTCCGACGCTTTTGACTGAATATTTTTGCACAGATGTGCCTTTAAGGAAATATATTTTGGAATATCATAATGAAACGTTCTTTACCTAAATGTTTCATATTGCAATCGATTCAATGTGCGAGTATATTATTTTGACTAGTAGTAAAAGTTAATGGGAAAAGAAGAGGATGAAAATGAAAGTGTATCAATACAGCTTTTACTTGAATTTGCGGTTTCACCGACGTCGCTTAACTTCAAGCTTAGTTTTATTCGTTCTTTGTCTCTTTCCAACTGTTACTTTAGAAAGAGACAAACATGAATTAAACTGAGATCACAGTTAAGCGACATTTGGTGAAACCTGGGACATTCGTTTGTTTATTACACGCATTTGAAATAAAAATAAATTGGTATTTAAGTAGAACGTGAGAAAACTGTTAATAGATGTGCTCTTCACTTCCTTTTCTTTTCCCAAACTTCTTTTTAATTCGAATCGAAAGTACAAATTTGAGAAGCGAGAACTCTCTCTCTCTGATCTCCTTCTCCTTCGTTCTCTCAGGGTTAAATATTATTATATGGAATGCTTAGAAATTCTTTCAACGTGCACGTGTCATTTTAAATAGAAGCCCGACACGAAACATTTAATGTTTGAGTATATCTTGATGAAAAATACGCCGTAATGATTATCTACATTTACTTTTCTAACGTACCAATGTTACCTCCACTTTTCATAGCCCATTCATCTTTATTGACAATTTGTATCACTGTGCCGCGGCGCACGCGCACATGTCGAAAATTTATCGTAAAAGATATGAGAGACTCGGCATAAGAGAGAAAATTTTGTCCCCCCGTTTTGCGCAATATATCCTTTTATGTGTGCAACTTACCCTCGGTCGAGGAATGGCCTTTAGAGGCTTCTTATTGCCCATTTTTTTCATGGCGTTGTAATATTTCTTCTGATCCTCCGTCATGAACATCTCGAGTGACCCGCCGGCTTTCTTCTTCTGCTCGTTAAAGTTGTCGATGATAACTCCGATAAACAGGTTGAGGGTAAAAAACGATCCAAATATAATGAAAAATACGAAGTAGAGATACATGTAAATGTTCGTCTCGCGGATCGGTTGTTTATTGATCTGCAAAACGATCGAACGGCGCCGTTTACGATACGTGCATCGGTAAAAAGTGTAACAGTAATCGCACCGGTCATACTCGCCTCTCTAGAGTCGATCGCGTCGTTCATGATTTGGATCCATCCTTTGAAAGTTGCCACTTGGAATAGGCACAGATACGCTTTCCCCACGTGGTCGAAGTTCATCGGCGAATTTTCCCACGTGTAGTTCTCGGTGTTGCAGGCGTTACGGTCCGGTATTATCTCGTAGCTGAGCGTCGTCTTGTTCGCGTCGACGCACTGCGGCGGAAATTAAATTGCATCACGTTTCTCGCCTCTTCCCAACAATACTTTACGAAAGAGCAAGGCACGCGGATGAATCGCGCGAATTATTTATCAAGCGACAGGCGCTACTTTTCTGAAAGTCGACTATCGATTTCGGTTCGCGCGTATTAAAAATCTATATTTACCTTATAATATTTGCCAGCGAACAGCTGCACCCCCATGATAGCGAATATAAGCCAGAAAATAAGGCATACCAGCAATACGTTGAAGATGGATGGAATGGCTTGGACCAAGGCATTAACGACTACCTATGAGAGACGAAATTTTATTAGACGCGACATCATACGCGTAACATATCGCTAAGAATTTCTGCATCTATGCGTCTTTATATGCGATTGTGTCACGCGCCATGTGCTCGTGTTATGACTAAGAACGCGAGAAATTTATTTGTCCCATAAAAATTATTCGACACAACTGTTTTTTTTTTCAAGTAAAGAAAAGTAACGCGTGTAAACTAAAGAGATTTTCCAAGATCCACGATTGCGATTTTTTTAACAAAAATTGGGAAATAAAATATTACTCCGTTAATACTTAAACGAATAGCGCGACTTGTTTTTTTTACTAGAAACCGATTAAGATTTTTCGCAAGGTGAAGCACTCGCAAAATATTTTTAGCTAACAATTGCAAACGGAATAACAAAGATTTGATCGCGAGGCAATATTTGTGTGTACGTCGCGTTCCTCTGTGCAGTAGCTGAATTCAGTGCGTAATACTTTACAAGCGCTTTTGAGCAAGTAGTCCTGATCGCTCGAGTTAAAACATAAACGTGTGATTATTAAAAGCGAAGGTCTACAAATAAATGAAAACTTGAGCGTGGAGGAATATTTTCTAGTACTCGATTTACATAGACGCCAAAAGATTCCTTATCACATTGAAAACATTTATTGCCAAATGATTGTCCCTTTAACAATGCACGGATCGTTGTATGTACAAGCGGTAGTTCAAACGTAACGTTTCGTTGGTGTGTATGCAATTTGGGTGGGAAGTTAATACAGCTAGCTATAATCGATTAAATGACCTCGCTCGATCGTGGATCGGTGATGATACGCGCATCGTGTAAATTGATATATCCACAAATTTCATACTCGGGTGTATACTAAAGAAAGTAGCCATGGGCAACATGTAAAGCAAGCGCAAGTTGCAGCACGAATGAACGAAAAGCTGACGAAAGCAAGCAAGCATTCGGTCGTCACGTCTACTAAGCAGTCCAGTTGCAAATACTACGTCTAAGCAGTTTATATACAGAATATCCCACAAAAAAAAGTATGTATACGAGTTGCGCGGGCTCTTATTTTGGGCTACACTTGGTCGGGTGTTTCCCTGCCCTGATAGATTAACATCGGATGTTGAACCAAGCAGCTCTTTAAACATCGAACATTAATAAGCAAGCCAAATTATGCAGCTCATGTATTATTCGGTAAAAAGACCTTCTCTCGTTAATTTCGAGCAGCAATTACTGCGATATTTAATGACGACAAGACGTGGACGATTCATAGCCGCTAAATGTATCTCGGATAAAGAATTTCTGTGAGAAATGTAGCCCCCCCTTTTTCCCCCCTCGAAAGAATTTAGCGCCCTTTCTCCTCCCTCTCAGGACATTCGGTATATAATGTTTGAAAAAGAAGAGGAGCAACTTAGAATTCTAGATAACTTACGCGATCCGCGTGATTAATATGTTTCCCAGAATTACTCGCGGTGCGCGAATTACTTGTGAATTATTACCTATGAAAGCTTCGCCTCTTTCCATTTACGCGCGAGTATTACGCACGAGTCCTGGGAAGCATATAAATCCTGTAAATTGAGAAAACAATCGCATCCTGCTACCTTCGTGGTCTCGTGCAAAAGCAAAAACGTAAGAAATAAAATACTGAGCGCTCCGAGGAGCGGTTTGCAGCGAGCTACTGTAAAAGAGAAGAAGTGTCAGGGCGTGGGCATGACAGTAATTACTACAACCCAGTGTCTCAGCGACCTTGTGTTGCGAGTATGTGATATAAGTATGAAGGAGTATTTGAGGAGATTCGTTTTCGTCGCGATTGTTGTCAAGTCGCGAGCCGTCGCTCACGCGTTACGAGAGAGACGAGTAAGGTATCCCTTCGTGTATTCACATCGCACATTCGACTGCCAATGTGTCACTGTTCGAAATAACATTTACCTATTGTGAGATAGGCCGGTATGAGATAGTGAGTTTTCAACATTCGACGAGTAACAATTTTTCCACCACAGATTTCGCTGCAAGGGCGATCATGCCTGTTAATTTAGCAGAAACCTTGCTGTCTCATATCAAGAGCATATTAGTAACGTATCTCATAATAGGGGACGCTTCTCTATTTATTATTGGGTAAATGTATTCCAAAATGAAATGCGATATGAATAAGAGATTCATGCGGCCAGAGTATCTTTGTGTGTAAGTCGAGTGTGTGTGCGTGTGTGTGGGTCGAGCTTCTAAAACGTAACCGTGTAAGGTTATCACACGCGCTATTGTCAGGCTCGTGATTGTACAAAGTCAGATATACGCGACGCTCCGTTTCGATCCTCGCGCTCAAGTGCACTTTTCTATTGAATATTTTACGTGTAGGCATTTTCCTCGCGAAGATAAGACGGGGCCACGACTCGCGTATCGGTGACAATTGTACGGATGAAACAAGCGCGTGTTTCTATGTGAAATAAGTGCGTGTCTATTTCTTCTCAATTAGTGTAGTGTTGCTCGATTATGGTATATACGAATTATCTACGCGCTGCTTCGCGCATTCGCATTTCTAAGCTCTGCCGTGCATTCGCGACTGCCTCTATTTTAGCATGTTCCCGTGCAACAGGAAGAGACGTAATATTTGAGTCGCCGTCGACTCCAGACTACCGATCTTGTTCCTCAAGAGTCAGTATCGTCAAATATCAGACTTATACCTTTAAAGTATAACAATTTTGTGCGAAATTATTTTTCGCATAAGAATTTACGCTGCCCGAAGATAATCTTTCGATAGATAGAAATGCGTAGAGATTGAGTCTTTTTAATCTTAACGGGCAAATATTTGCAAAATATGCAATTTCAGAAAAAACTTTTGAAGTAAAAGTTGTACGGTCTAGAGGGGGACGTAAGGTGCTGTCATTAATTTAACTTCGAATAGTTGCTTGAATGTCACATAAGATCACCTTTTATTTTTTAAATCGAACCCCCTATTGTTTATTATACCATCTTGTTCTATTAATTAATCCGAACAACTTTTGTCTAAAACATTTTGTGATTTGCCTAACACTTTTTGAGATATTCAAGAGAAAATTGATAACTTTTCTTAACATTTAGCTTATGATATCTCGATAACTTTCGGAGGGAAAAGTAGTACTGGACTTTTTACTTGTCTTGATTTTTTCTGATCTACATTTAAATAAGTGACAGTGATACAGGCTCTTGATAAACGTGGTCGGTCGAATTTCGTGGAAGAAAAGGGAAACGGATGATGATTTTCGAGTCCATATAATCTGAGAATTATTGTTCCTAGTGCGAGAAATTACACGGGGGGAAGAAAGATGACAATATAATTGAATAATAATTTATAAATGATTGTAGAGACGAAGATCACAATTTGTAATAGCAACAGTTTGATGAACTTAGGTAGCACATCATGAGGAAAAAAGTTACATCGATTTGTTTAACGAACGTTTCTCAATACCTTTTAAGGATATATATAATGCCATACGCTCTTCCTTAATTCGAAAACGAAACGTCACGCGTGTCTAAATTTTATTTTTAAATTGTCCAAAAATTTGAAATCAAATGATATTATTTTAAAAGTTGCGCGCTAATTTCAAATAAAATCACGATTTAATGTTAACTCTCTAATTGTTCTCTCCATATCTAAGAAAAAAAGCACTTTCTTTCCATGATATTTGATAACGTTTCTATGCTGCAGTAGTTGCGGTATATTTTATATTTTAAATAAATTGAACTCAGGTAAAATAAAATTCATTTACGACGATCGTAAACAGATACTCGTATAAAAAAACCCCCCGTTCTTCCTGACATCCCCCTCGATATAAAACACCGTTGGCGAGGATTATAAGATTAAGAAACGCTGTCATACTCCCCGGTATTGAAGGGATTAAACATGGGGGATCGATTCTGCCGTCTTCTCCACGGCAGACGTAGAGCAAGCGACAAGGTCTGCTGAGACGGTGGGCTACATACCCGCATCCCCTGCATTCTAGACATCGCCCTGAGCGGCCTTAGGGCCCTTAGGGTCCGCATTGTTTTGAAGGCTTGAATCCCGCCAGCGCCACAGAGCGACGCTACGAAGTTAATGAGCGATACCTGCGAGCGAGAAACGAGAGCGAATCACAGCGAAAGGTAGACAGACGTGTGAGGGGATTAGACTTGATCAGTTCCGACGATTCACGGACGTTGGAATAAGGCCGGGGTGAGGGGGTGGGGAGGGAAGAAAGAGGGGGCGGGAGGGAAGTCAAAGACAGACGAGATCGACGTGTTACTGCGTTCCTTCGACTCCCTCGTCGGATCAAGACATTTGGATATCTGTACAGAGACGAAATTCGAGGGGCTGTCGATCTGTGGAGAGCCTCGACATTTCTCTAGCTATAGATATTTATATGTATATACTCATATGTACATTATTGTATTACTCTTCTGTGAGTACCGTCACCTCCGAGGGTCCGTGCAAAAAGAGGGAAGCGTATCGGTTGCTCAACAAGGAGCCAGTCTTCTCTTGCGCCTTTACATCTCATTTCTCCGGTGTTGGTGCGTTTGATATCGACAAAGAATTATTTTAGATAAGGCAATAGAATGATATTTGGATAACAATACGGTGTGTTCGGCACCGATAATCAAATTTGACGTTTAAATTATTAAATATGTCCGCAAGAAATGTGAAAAGTAATTCTGGAAAATAACGCGTCGCATGGATTAACGGTTTGCCGCGTGTGCAAAGTGGCTTGTTACGCGAACCGCGGGAAAGATTTCGGTGACGGTACTCGCAGAGCAGAGGACACATTACATTAATACGACAATTATATAAAGGGAGATAGAGGCAATAGATTCCAGGTACGGCACATACAGCAATTAACAATAATCAGGAGTTATACATGACTCTGTGTGTATGTGCATATATATATATTTACATGTGTACGTGGAAAGATACATATGTATCTATATATAGACACACACACACACACATACGCACGTACACACGCACGCACGCGCAAATCAGAAACAGAGATAGATAGATCGAACGACAAACAGCTCGGTAGGGATTATCGAGTTATACGAGCAAGTTACTATCGGCTGCATCCTGAAACAGACGAAAAGTTTTTTTTTTGTCACACCTGCGATCGCGACGCATCGCACGAGCTCTTTAACTCTCACTTTAATTTACGCGCGAAATCTCCAAGAGATATCAGAATCATGTCAATTAAAGACGAGGAAATGAGATTTGCTCGCGTCTCAGTTACTCACTCGACGAGGGGGAGAAATATACGCTCGTGGAACGTCGTGACGCTCTCTGAGAGAGATCTCGATGAACATATTACATATTTTGCGCGTGTAGACGCACGTAAAATCACACGCGCGCACATCCACACACACACATACGAGGAAATTTTTACACTACACAAAAAGCATATTCATATAATATATATATATATGTATATATGTATATCATGTATAGAAATTCGGTACTTTGCACAACGATCATTGGTATCAAGAGACTGTTAAAAAAAAGGCGTACATAGGCGACGTTAGCTAGTAATATACGACAATGACTCCAGGTATCAGTGCAGACACCAAGTAGAGACGCCAGTGTATCTCTGCACATCGGTATAAGCACACCATAGGTACACCATAATACACCGTAATACAAGCTACCCTCGCCGTAGCCGTTGTTCACGCTCAGCGCCCCCTTTAAGATTTCCATTCTTTTTTTCCGCCTCGTTCCCATTTACCACAACGGATATTTCAAAAGCCGAAGCCTCGTACCGCGTCCAACGGATCGATATCGTATACTATCTAAATCGCTCAATCAACAGTCGATCGGAGCCGAGCCGCAATGGATCCAGCTCGTTTTAAGGAATCTCTGACTTTTGGCTCTGACCCCGCGCAAGCAACGTTAATAAACGGAATCACTTGTTCTCCAGTTGCTTTCGTCCATTTACTTTTTAGCAGACTGGAGGGAGGGAATGATTTTCTTTTTTGTAAGACGGAACTTTTTACAAAATTACAAAAATGTAAACAAATATGTTTGACGAGAGCCGATGTCCGTGGAAGAAAGTTAATACGCGTGTATGCATAAATTAACAAAAATACCGGGCACAAGTAATTTTCTTTATCGACGTTGCCGTTGGCACGAGTCAACGCTCAAATCTTGGATTCTGTAAAACGACCTGCGTCCCGATTCGTTCCCGATCGCGACATTGTCACTACTTTGAGAGGAAGAAAGAGAGACAGAGAGAGAAAGGAACAATCCATGCATATAAACCGGCAGTCCCTCGTCAATCGGAGGCCCGCGCGGCGGACAAATTAAACGTGCTTTGATCATGATAACGTGATCGATCCGTTAGCTCCGTACGATCCATCAAACGTCGTTGCGATAACAGGCCGAATCACAGGCTTTCTTTGCATAAATTGTTCGCTTAAGTCCTCGCCGGCCGATGACTTACTCTCATGCCCTCCCACCGTGAGACTGCTCGTAAAGGCCTCAAGGCCCTCAGTGTTCTCATGGAACGGAAGGCTGGGATGTCAGCTGCGCCGGCCCAGGTAGCGGCCAAGTTGATCAGTGATAGCTAGTTTCATCAAATATTTATCAGACGGGACATAATATGCGTCAGTTCTTAACAATAATACTTAAATGGCGATCGATTAAGAGAAATCCACCGAAAGCTTCGACGCTCCGCTCCCACATTGCTTCGCACGTCGTTGCATTAGTTGTTCAAGGGTTGAAAGGGGAGAAAGTAAAAGAAAGCGGGGAGAGACAAGATGTAAGAACGAGAGAGATCTTGTCGTCGCGCGCGTGGAGCGGCGGGAAAAAGATCATCCGTGCATCGGCTCTGGCTTTATTTAGAGACTGCTCGATTATTTGTCATCGTCAAATATATTGAATCGTTGTCCATAAACATTTCAATTCCCGTTATCGAAACACGGATAGATACTTTTCTGCAATCTCGTGTCGTAAATGGCACTTGGACTTATTTTCAAGATCGGTCCGACTACGCCGATCAAACTGTTACCGATTCTTCAAAGTGACGCAAATTGCCAAATGACGCGAAAGCAACACGGATAGCTGATCCGCGTGCAAAGTCATTCGAGAACGAAAAGATCCCCTCGTGAATTACTTGCCGAGTGTGTGCAATCGAGCTTTCGTTACATCGAGAATTTTATTTTACGTTCCACTCTTCACTGAAATGTCCGACGGAATCGTCGTCTTTCGATAATCAGGTGTCGCTCAATTGCACACGTTGCGCAAAATCAAACATCTTTGAGAATCGGGTTGAAATATTGGAGAGATAGAAAGAGACACGTGACTCACCATGACGATGATAAAATCGAGCCAGCACCAGGCGTTCGTGAAGTACTTCTTAAATCCTAGAGCCAGCCACTTGATCAACATCTCGAGGAAGAAGATGACAGTGAATATTTTGTCCATGTAATACAATACGTCCTGCAGAATAGGTCGTTGTTGAAGATGAACGTCCTCCAAAGCCTGCAAGCCGTCCGGTTTCGCTCAGCCGATATCGCCTAGATATATTATTTCGAATAGATGTAAAAAATTAAGTGACAGTATTACCAAGGCCAAGCTACTTAGAAGGATCATGGTGATGACGGCAGTCTCGAAATATTTGTTCTCGATCAGCCGGAAGGTCTGGAATCTCAGATTCGCCCAGCCCTGCCAAAACGGGGCGTCGTCGTCGCCGGCCAGAAATGGGAACTTTTTGTAGCAATTTTCTGGGCAACAATCGGCCGGGTAGTTGGACTGAAGAGGATCCTCATCCGCGATTATTATCTCGCCGTCTCCCAGTTCTTCCCCTTCTTCGCCCTCGTCTTCTAGATCTGGATACAAGTAGTTTCACTTATTCACCATTAACTTGAAACGTTTCATAAATAAAAACCGTCTATTCCGCGTTCGCCGTTTGCCGATCTCGTCTTCCGAATTTACGAATGATTCTGCAAGGTCAGACAAACCGCGAGTCTTACCTTCCTCCTGTTCCAAATCTTCCTTGCTCGCGTCTTTCTTCTCTTCGCCGTTTAACGAGTCCATACTGCCCTTGTGACTCTCGTCCTTAAATGCGCGGTTTTTGTGACTGCCGTACGACTTGTTGCTGTTGAAAGGATATTCGAGTAAGGTACGGCTCTTAACAACATTGCCTGAGATACGTGAGCGTTTAATGAAACACCTAACCGACCTGATAGTGTCGTCCTCGTTCTGATTAATGTAATCGTTGTCCAATCTATAATCGTGGTGGTTTATTGAATTCGCGATAACCTTCGTATTGTTCATGCACAGCTTGCCTCGCTTCAGTTTGTTCTTCAGGTCTCCTTCGGGAGGGAAATCAAATTCGACATATTAATTTTACTATGCAGTACCGTTTTTATCTTTTTGAAATTTAATAGCCGGCAAATACATATCTCTAAATCTTCAATGAAAACAGTTGCATAATGGTCTTTTATCTTTCGATTAATTCTCGTAAAGTTACAGTCTTCTGCAACAGCTTCTCAAAAGTATTTCAAATGAATAACGTACGTTGAACATGATTTCATGTATCGATAAGTAACCCGACACATTATGCAATTTCTGTCAGCCAAAGACGCCACAATACGGATTATCATGATTATAGTTATGGAAGAGTTGTACTTCGTTTCCGACACGCTTACCATGAATGGTAAATTCCATCCCGTCGCCAATGGCAACCTCAAGCTGATTAAGCTCTTTGGCGCTCTTCTTGTCTCTGTATGCGTCCAATTCTCCATCTGCAAGATCTAGGTCCCCATCGCGATCAATCCCATCTGCACAGTCACACAAAATCTCTAACCCGCCCTTATTAGGTAATTCGTATCGGAAAACAAATCGGAACGCGCTGAAAAATTATGCGCAATGCTGTACAGATAAAACTTGGTTCACTGTATATACAGGCCCATCCACACACGTGCGCGATTGTTTTCCATCGCGATTCCCAACACGTCAAATTGAGGAATCAGATCAAATTAGTAACATGATCGTGTTGTTCGCATGCAATCGTATATGGTGTCAATTATGTCGAGTGGTACCACCAGTGACCCGATCCGGTTCGAGACGGTGTGTCAACGATTTACAATGTAGATGCTTTGTGCGTTGATACTTGCTGCATTGACAAATTTGACATTAATTTTGCTAATGGTAGTTTCGAAACAGCCAAACTCATCGAAGTTAGATTGCTCTATTGTCGCGCATTGAATGTAGCCTTTTAAAAATACGTGAAAGATATTTCAAAATCGCTTCCATATTTCAATATTTGTTAAAAAGACTTTTTTTGGGGGGGGGGGATCGATCGAAAAATTAATTAACCGAGAATTTTAAGTTTACAGCGGTTTGCTGTGAACAAAAATGCAGCGCGCATCATGTGATTTCTTATGTACATGTCTAATTCTGCTTAATGGTAAATTGTTAATATTCGCATCTTGGACGAACTTCATCACCATTGAAGTTACGTAGTAAAATGCGTTCCCAAAGTAAAATGCATAGCAACGTATAACTGCCAGGCAGCTAATCAGCGAAACAAAACTTAATTTGCGTTTAATCCCACCGTGCATTAAATACACACTGAACTAATTGACTCTGCCTTATTTTCGCTAATTATTGCATAAAATTCTTATCAAAAATATTATTAAATTCAAAGCTAATTCTGAGCTAATTGTAATTAATTTAAGGATAGAGCGTTTATTATTCGTATCAAATTATAAATAAAATTTCATTATAATGCAGTACGACGATTTTAATGGAGCATAATAGCGAACCAAGTAAAATTTATCGAGTCTGCATAATAAATCGAATGTACCAGTCGACGTATATACGCTTTACGAGCTCTACGTTAGAATTGATACAACATATTGTTTAGAAATGATCGTAAAATCAATGAAAGAAACGTAAAACGACATAAAGAGTAAGTAAATGCCGTTGAAAGGTAATTTCGAGCAACAAAAAAAAAATACGATCGAATCTGTCGTCCGCTCTGTTCATCGTTCATAGCTTGTCATCACGCGTGATCTATTACATCGGTCGCCGACTGGCACCAGCAAAACGTGTGAAAGAAGTGTAAAGCAAAAACTGAAAGACAGTGCCACGAACTACACAGCGCACACAGCAAGCGATCTGATTGGATATAAACCTTCTTTCCAACTGTTGGACGGTCCCTCACCTGGCGCCTGATCGGATATCTGATTGGTGAGTTTGGCTCGCATCAACTTCAAAAAATCAAGGATATTTCGCTTGATCCACTTAATGAAACGCGCTATTCGATCGATCGCCTCCGCGATCTTGTTCGTGTCGTTGTCCGCAGTCGGGGCCGATAGATTCGATGAGCCGAAGTTGCTCAGCAACAGAGCTAAGAAGAGATTCAGGACCTGTTTCGTGGAAATACAACACGATTAATCTTCGGCGCGTAGGAAATAATTTAATTGGCACGCAAAAATTTGCGGTGTTCCTTACATCGGCTTGAAAACTTATGCCGTTAACAACATTCCGCCCTTTGTACTTACGACCAAGTTACCGATGACGACGGTGGCCAAGAAGAATGGTATACAGGAGACGTCACCGACCAGCATGCAGTCCCACATAGACTCGATCCACTCCCCGCACAACACTCGGAAAACGATCATAAAGGAGTGCATGAAGTCCGTGAAGTTCCATCTAGGTAGATCACCGTCCGGAAAGTAGTCGACGTGATCGATGTAATTCTTGCCGAAGAGCTGCATACCCATCACGGCGAAGATGAAGATGATGATGCACAACACGAACGTCAGATTACCCAGCGCGCCCACCGTTCTGCCCATAATGGAGATGAGCAGATTCAACGTAGGCCACGATTTAGCCAGCTTGAACACTCTCAACTGAAAGAAATCATATTTTTGACAACTCGCGCGATTGCTCTTAGGATAGTTACGAGAAGCTCGTCGAACAATGCAAAGGGAGGGAGAGACTCACCAATCTGAAGGACCGTAGTACCGACAGACCTTGCACACCCTCGAGACCCAACTCCAAAAGCGAAAGGGCGACGATGATAAAATCGAAAATATTCCAGCCCTCTTGAAAATAATATTTTGGGCTCATCGCCATCAGTTTCATAGTCGCTTCGATACCGAACGTCGCCGTGAAGAACTAGAATTTGAATCGGTTTGTCAACATACTCGCAAATTAGTAGATTTGTGCGACATATATTATTTTTCTGTAACAATGTACCGTACTTGTACCGCGTGTACGGCAGTACTCACGTAATTGCCAGACTTGAGTACTTTTTCCATGTCTTTATCCATGTCGTGGTGATCCAATGCCATGAAGAGCGTATTGACGACGATGCAAAGTGTGATAAAGAGTTCTACGAACGGATCAAAGACCAACAGGGAGATGTACTTTTGAATCTCGAGCCAGAGCCAACAGCAATCCCAGACGCAAAAGATGTCGATACAACGATACATTCCGGCCACTAACTTGTCCTTGAACGTAGGTTCTTCATCGTCGTCTGTCGGAAAGTAATAGGTCGAAACTGTAACGCGCGTTAGTAATTTTGTCTGGCACCACTCTTTTTGGGGAAAGAGGTTTTTCTTTGGTCAGGCTCATTCTTCGAGATCACAGATTATATTTACAGGCAGGCAGACAAGCAGTTAGGCATGGCGCGAAATTGAAAATGACATACTGAATAATGAATCGCGTAAATCTGGATAAACGTACTTAATACCATAGTCGCAAAATATCTGAAAGTCAAACGTTTCTTAATTTGGTTTTTTGTCAATTCTGACATTACTACATTAACGTTGTGCTGTTTTCGCAAATTACAAAGGTTTACGAGTATTTTACTTGTAAAAATTGATACAATATAATTGGATAAATTGTAGTTAATATATTTCGTACGGTATATACACATTCACGCAAGTCGCAAATATAAAATTGAAAATGATAAAATTTAAACAAATAATGTCGTGCATTAGCGACGCGAATAATGTGCAATGCGACATAATTACATTATAGCATGCGCGCGAACTCAACATTATTACAGTTTTACGTATGTACACACAAAAATGAGAGCCTCATTTTTTAATACTTTCGCCACATGAAAGATTATGAAGCCATTTCATTGTTTTTTCTTTCTTAAAATCGACAGTCAAAATCAACTATTATTGTACAAGTTATATTAAATATTAAACTTGGGGTATACGAATTTCTGTCTGTGTTTCTAAAAGGTATGTTTCTATGGTGGCGAAAGAATTAAATGTTGTAATATAAGCAATGAACGACAACCAAACTTCAACATAATCGCGCGAAATTCTTCTCAACTCAAATATTTTACAATGAAACACAGTTAACAAACAATATCACGCACGGCTGTACATTTTTCAAACAAAGCGGTGGTTTTGTGCGGTCTTCCGTAACATATTCTGTTTTCACGCGGATGCTTACGTCAACAAAATTTATAGACGTAGCGCTGTAGCGAAAGTGTGATTTACAGCTTTACGTGCAAAAATTCGAAACTACGCCAGGTGATCAAATATCTTTCGCAAAAACTAACAACGCGCAGTTGAAAAAACTCGTTTCTATTTTCGGAATATGCTGATCTTGCCGTATTGTGCACCCGAGACAAACACGATAGTGCCCTTCAACGCGGTGGTGATGCAGGTGCAAAAATATCGAAAGTTTAACCAAAATCGCTGCAGTTTCGTATCGGAAATCAAAGATAACTGAGATTTCTCAATCATCGATGAGAATGAAAGAATGTCCAGAATTACTTAACAGAAATGTTATTCTTATTTTAATTCATGAAGAAAGAGAATGACGGAAGAAAGGGGGAAATAAGCTAATAGTAAATGAAATACAAAATTAATATTGCATACCGGATATTTTTGTATAAATATACATATTAATTTAAGTGATAAAATAATGTAATATGTAGGATGAAAGGAAACATTTTGACAACGCAACATTTTCGAGAGATTTATCTTCTGTATTACCGAGCATTAGTCACGATTTATCGACGATTGAGACAATCTGAAAAAAATGGAAGCATGAAGCGACCAGGATCGTGCAGCTGCGGCGAAAGTGGTAATCTGTGTCACATCGCAGGAAACGAGCAAACTCTGTTTCCCCAAAAACTGCTCTCACAAACCGCCCTCAAGGGCCCGCGGGCCGCAATCGTGTCTTTTTTTTCTCGTCGCATCACGCTGCTCAGAGAGAGAGAGAGAGAGAGAGAGAGAGGCAATGTCCTGCGTTTTATGTTATTCGCCATTAGTATGCTCGCTCTCCATTTAGCAAATCGCTGAGACGTATATCGAGCCATCGTATGTAGCAAACCGCATCAATTTACACGCCATGCTCAATCGTAAACTAAAGTACGTATAAGGAACACGAGCGTGATCTTAGCTGCGTCGGCTGGGATGAAAATTAAAAATGAAATCTGTTCGTTCTACTATGTATGTACAAGGCGCGCGGCCCAGAGATGTCCAGCAAAAGAGTATGTCAACGCAAGGGAGTAGTATGGCGAGAGATTTTTCAAAACCACACTGTACATCGAACGGCAGGCTGCTCACACGATAAACAAGATATATATATATATATATATATATATATACATTTGCGATAGGAATGAACAGAAGAGAGAAACTGAAGGGAGAAACTTGGAGGAAACTTGATGAAAGATATGCGGAAAGGGACGCGACATTACCTCCTTGTTCCGGCGTCTGGCTCTGGCGACCGGCGGCTTGCTCGATTATGTCGTTCAACACCATTACATCTGCGCAAGAATGATAAAGTTCCAAGTAAGTTCGATTGCTTGGCAGCGCCTGGAGCTATTCGCTAACTAGTTCGCAATCTCACCCTTCATGTCGACCACGGTGTGCTGTTGAGACGGTTCGATAAACGGATTGTCTTGTTGCTTGGTCTTGCCCGTGGGATCCTGCTCCAGATCGGAAGTCTCCTGAAAATTTCAAACGACTGTAAACACCGTCCTGGAGATCGCTACGTTCCGCGCCGCGCGTAATGTTTCACGCAAGATATCGCTAGGATCGGTACGATCGACAAGAATTGAAATTGACAAGGAAACACGGGCGTACGTTCCACGAAGCGAGGATTCGACGTTTCCCTCAATTTAACAGGCTACGAAATATTCTATCGTCAAATTGGGTCCCCGCAAGGATGTCTTCCTAATTAAAGGGATCACTTACGAAATGATAAGTTTTCTGATTGGTGTCCGTAACGTGGCCGTTGGCCGGCGTCGTCTGTTTGTTGTTCCTATTCCTGAGGATCTGCTCTTGCTTGGTGATCTGCTTTCCGATGCTGTCGATGCCGCGGATACCGGGGAAGGCCAGGTCACCGTGGGATGTGTAGGAGAGCCGCGAGGCGTGCGAGGTGTAGGACGAGTGACGCGAGCCGAGATTCGCGTAGTACACCGGCACCACGATCGTGCCGTTCTCCTCGGACATGGGTGTGACCGCGTTCGAGTCGTCGGCGTAGGGCAGGTGTTCCTGGGCGTCCAGGTACGTCGACAGCACGAGGGGCTTGCGGTCGCCGCCCGGCGGTACGAAGCATCGGCCGCGACCGTTGCGTATCGTGAATTGGTGGCTGCCACGGCTGCTGCGGCGCAGATTGAACGGTGAGCCGGGTAGGCTCAGGCTCGCCTGGAATTACAACAAAGCGGGCCACCGCTTTTCTCTCTCTCTTCTCTCTCTCTCTCCGTTCTCGGCCCTCTTTTCTGGCAGCCGAAGCGAGGGCCAGCCGGAAAGGCGTCTCTGTCCCCCTCGGCGACGTGATTCCCTTAGGACGATCGTGACATTTCCCGCGAACCATCGATCGCGACCCTGTCGCAACGCTTAACGGATCGAAGAGTCACGAGCTGTAACGCGCCAAGATTTTGGCTGGCGCTGTTCGACATACATTTCTGGCCGTGGTCCTAGCGGCTGAGCGCGGAAGCGATATTTTTAGAGAATCGCAAGATTCACTTATTTAAATTTGGACGATTATACAACGGGTGACTCTTCGAACAAGCTGTTGTTCAACAGTCCCATCTCGTTTCCCTACTTTAACTAATTGATCACGAAACACGACGATTGACGGAGCGATAGTGTAGGCTGCCTATCTAATCGTCTTCTAAGTAAACCGCAATTAATCCTTCCAGTGATACGCGCGACGCCGATCGTTCCTCGCAATTAATTAAAAGAGATAAGATTGATCGCTCAACGAGACTTGTTTCCTCGATCAAGTTCCTCGCGGTGATCGTTGCTACGCAAAGCTCGCGACGCGATCGATCATCGGTGGTGATCATCCGCGACTCGACTCAGGAGCGGAAATCCGTGAGGATGTACGGGCGCGTGATAGCATGCGCGACTTGCCAGACATCGCCTGAGAAGTGCGAGTCGTAACGCGCGAGATATCGATGAATGGCGTCTCGAGGATGAGCACTATGAGATCGGATCCTATGGTGCTATTTAGTGTACGTACGGTCGGTGCTGACAGACACACGTCGTGACACACGTACCTTCCGCAGGCTTTCCTGGTAGGCATAAGTAAACTGGCCATTAGCGGCGCGAGGGACCTTAAGAAAAAAACAAGAAAAGATATCTCCTACCAAACGGCTCGTAACGTGATCTAATGTGTACACCAACGAGGCACTCGAAATAGGAATGGAGTAATAATCACATAACACTTGCAGAAGCAACATATAACGCAATTGTAGATGGAGAGGTGAAGAGAAAGAGAAGGGGAGAATAAAGAAAAATACGGCTTGTACAAGAGAATAATCTTTATATCGCGGGGAGGGTGTGCGAGTAGAGAAAACTATCGAATCTAGTAAGGATCTAGTAAATGTGTAGAGACACGAAGATCGGCGGTTTACGTCCGCGATCCAATTGCGTCAATTAGAGCGATACGTATTAGCATACTTGATGGGAACATTGTCCAATTGTTCACGTTACCTCTTAATTCGAGACTTGCTTGTTTGTCCGACAAAGAGAGACGGATAGAGAAGTTAGTTCGACATTCCGAAATTTTCGTGTCAGGCAAATTGCGTTTAGAGCATCGGTATTAGGCAATCGGCCGATATAGTTCGTATCTCCGCCAGCCATTTTAATCGTATACTAAGCATATACTTCTCTGCATGCATGGCACCGTAAAATAGGATTGAAATGTATGTCCAGTATGCGCCGTGTCGTTATACGGCCGAAATTCACTGTTCCGCGCGTTAACGCGCAATCGCAGGATCGAGGCAGCGATATTCGACACATTGTGAAACTGGAATTTACGATACAACTAGGGCGAATGATTAAACGAGAGGGTGACAGGTTCTATGCGGTAAAGCCACCTATCCAAAGGGTCATGGTATAATGCGAGCAGTCGAGATACGCAGCGAGTCCCAAAAAAGATTTGTGCGAGTAGCAGGGCTTTCATCGAGCTTTGGAATTGACAGTTTCTTCGTGCAACATTCGATCGACGTAGCGAAGATGCAATCGTTAAAATGCCGCGAGTAATTGCATGGATCTGGCAACTTCAATTTTTCTCGTATATTTGACAAACACGTGGATGACTTTTTTGGGACATCCTATATACGCCAAGCATGCTACGGAGCGGCGGATAGGAAGGCTCGACTCGTCGCAATGTTTTTTCCTTTTCTTTTTTTCTTGCGTGTTAAAGATACAGGATTGTGATGTCAAGACATAGGTACTTTATCTCGATCTGACTGCGCCTATTTTCCTAATACGCGAATTACAATTAGGAAGGACACACTCTCTGTCGAATGTATTTACTTTCGATTATCTATTTGATACCTGTGGACCAACGGTAATAAATTATCACCAAGCTCGCCTGATCGCCTAGGTATACACTCGCCACTGAGTTCGCCCTAACGATCTGAGAAGCTCCTCACCATCAGCCGAGCTAGTAAATGTAAATACGTCATCATTTGAATCCTGTGTTCCGGAAAATGGTGATTTCGAGCTGACAGGAAGCAGCGGATATTTCGAATTTCGTGATTTCAATTGTAGACTATCGACGAGTCGAGTCGGATCGAATAGCCTCGCATAAGTTGCTCTCGTAGGAGCGAGGTCGGAGGGGGGGGGGGGAGGATCGTGAAGGTTGATAACAGGGCCAACACGATAGATTACGTCAAGACGACGCGTAAGAAGGTCGATATGTATATGTATATATCGTACGTCGTCCAGCCGGATACTTACGGCGCTGACTTTCCGCACTTTATTGGCAGCGCTGTGGTTGTTGTTGATCTGCTTGATGTGCCTCTGGTCGCCGGCGGACTCGATCGAACGTATGCTCATCTTCTCCTTATTGTTGTCGTCGTTGCCCTTCTCCTGGCCGACGAACAGCTCGTAGCTGTGACACGAGAAATCCGACGGGGATTTGACGATCTGGTCCGCAGCCTCCGCGGCGGCGACCGCAGCCTGCGCCGCGGCTTCCCGCGCCGCAGCATGCGCCGCGAGCTTGTTCTCCTTCGCTATTGCAGCTTCCTCGGCTTCCTGTCAACATTCGTCGATCGCGTCAGTCATTTCGATTAAAATTTCGCGAGATAACGAATTCGTCTCTCAAGAAAGACTCGTCCAAAATGGACTCCAGTGTCACTCACCCTCATAGCTTCTTCCTCGGCGAGCTCCTCCTCTTCGGCTTTCTTCTGCAACTCGTCGTACGACATCGCGACAATAGCGAGGATCAAGTTGACAAGATAGAAGGACCCAAGGAAGATGATGACGATGAAGAAGAGCATGTGCCACGGTCCGGCCGATCTTAGCACCAGTTGATACAGATTCTCCCAATAATCCTGAGTCATGAGACGAAAGGCAGAGAGCAATGCCCAGCCGAAAGTGTCGAAGCTCGTGTAACCGTAATTCGGATTAGTGCCGAATCCTTGTAAACACGTGTATCCGGGAAGGCACGTCCTGTATTTCGAGGAACATTATTTGTCTGGTGTGCTCTTTGCATCGATATCGCGAACGTATCTCCGGAAAGGCTCTTCCCACTAACGTCGATTGATTCACTCTCAATCGCGATATCAATCTTAAATACGCTTAACTCTAAGAGTATAAATGGAAGCGAATTATCAACTTACCCCGCCCCCGATGAATTTCCGCATAAGGGTATATTTTTAGCCTCGTCCACGTACCAATTACCTGCATAGGAGAAATAACGTTTTAACAATCGGTTATCGGAAATTAATTTTAAAGAAGACTCATTGGTCTTTGTAAAACAACCGTTTGGTACAGGTAGCTGTGTGTAAACGCAGCTTATATTTAAAGGTGTACTACCGAAATGGTTGGATCAAGCAGAATTGTAATCGCGTACTTTGAGAATCTCGTCAAATCGTAGAAAAACAAACGTCACGAAGACTCCATTCTCTCGGACGTTGTCTCGATTCCTGCGCTTTTTACATGCTCTCGGACTTGTGCGCTTTCGAATTTAATTTCACGAAGAACCGCGACTTACTTTCGTTACTATTGAATCGACTCCAGCTCTCGTGGGTGAGATTACCCCAGGAGCCGTCCTCAGGAAAGTTCTTTATACATTTTTGCGTGAGGACCCCCATGTAAATCTGAAGACCCATCAGCGCAAAGACGGAGAGGGAGAACATCGTCAGGATTATCACATCGCGCAGGTTCTTCACGGATTCTATCACAGCGCCGACAATGGTTTTCAGACCTAGACAACGAGAACAGAATGACAGTAGGTTCATAGCGGCAAAATACGCGGCAACGGCAGCGGCGACCTGAAGAAGTACCGATCGACTTGTCGTGCGAGAACAGGCTCGGTCGAGGCAGGCATATGGATAAAGTGCGAAATGCGAAATGAGTATCTTTTTTCGAAATAACTCTATCGAGAAAGAAAAGAAAAGAATTTTAAACTCGAAATTCAATTTGTGAAATGGAGAAGAGCATCACGACGCACACGATTTTATGGATAGCGACATGGAAATTTGTTTAATATCATATTCAGACGAGAGACCTGTTCGATGCGCGAGCTACAGCTTACGAGATGAAAAATGGAACATGTAAAGGTCATCAGAAGCATATTTTTCACGATAAATCGCCTGATATGATATACGATCAAATTCCTCTCTGTCTCCATCCGCGTTTCAAAGCAGTTTCGTGCATCGAGTTGGTTTCGCGAGATCGCGGCGAAAATACGGAAAAATAGGGAGCGAGCCCGGACCGATGTAAAGAGAATCGGATTTGTCGGGATAAATATTGAATACGGAATGTGTACTCCGAGAATACCGAGTGACAAACGGAACGATGATGCGAAGGGCGATACAAGCTGCAGTGAGATGGAACTAGTTGTGGATGTGTGATGAGATACGGAAGACGTACACAACGATCGCGGCAAGTGTTGTCTAGAACCAACTATGTATTTGCGTCTACGATCACTTCTATATTCTAAGCATACCTGGTACAATAGCGACAGTCTTCAAGGCTCGGAGGACTCGAAAGGTCCTGAGAGCGGCAAGGTTGCCTAGATCTATGCCCATCGTCACATAACTGCAATACACCCGAACATCACACACATTACAGTGATACAAACAAAAAGGTAAAACAAGTTAGAGAAAATCGGGGCGGGGTTACGTAGTTACGCAAACGGTTACTCGCTACTTTTCCTATTTCCTACCAAAAAATCTGCACGAACTGCAATGTGTATCGTAAGGTAGCTATTACTGCATGCACGATTCAGTGTAACATGCCGCGTATAACTTGCCACGGGTTTCGAGATTGTTTTTTCCAACGTATCTTCTAAGCTCGCTTATTCTCGTCAATTTTTCTCCCATGGAGATCCGATTCAATTATATTTTCAACACTGCCATATACAAATTTATAATATGTTACTCTTTATTTTTGCAACGAAAAAAAACCAGTCGTTTGAATTCCGGTTCTCCCACTTGAAAAATACAGTGCGCATTAAAAAATTTCAAGAGTTTGCTCCAACAAGTACTTTTATAATTTTAACAAGCTCCACTTTTGAAGTAGGATAAAACCTGTCCGAGTCTTTTTCCAATATTGTTGGTTTCTTTGTGAAAATGGAAGAAGGTAGACAATTATTTTGACAAAAATAGCGATATCTCAAGTATTATGAAAGATCGCTGAATCTCGTGGCACGCGATCGGCTATGTTACGAGCCGCAGTCGAGTACTCGTTTATCGAGTGAAACGTATACACGTATCGATCATCTATGAACAATTACTGAAGTAAGAATGTATGTATATAGATATGTACTAAACTACAACAATTAGTCAACTGACTCATCGACTCGACGTAAGTGTACTAATGTCTAATCAACGTATTACGAATGGCAATTAAGAACTCCTTGTTTAAGATCACTAGAAGAGACAAGAAATAATACTATCCCTATCTAGATGAACTAATTTAAGTACTTAAAATATATATACACACATATATATATATTTAAGTACACCTCAGAGCGTGTTATGCGTGTATGCTCGTTCGTGTCTGCGTGGATTGTGAGACGTAATGAACGAAGATCGAATATATACACATATAAGTATATAATCGATGCTACGAAAGTCTTACGTTAGCGTACTCAACGGATCTAGCGGAGAGGTCTACTGTCATAACCTGGAAAGATCTAACTTGATACTAATTAACGTTTTCGTGAATAATTTCGATACGCGAACTTCCGGTCTAAAATTCTCAATTCAAAAATCGATTTCTCGGCCACCGCATTCGTCATCGTAACACGATTTAGTAATCCATTTCTTTGTTTTTTTTTCATTTCTATTAAGAGTCAATTAATTAGATATTTTATTCGAACGATTTGTAAATATTTTCCGTCACCGCGGTATGTGCCAGAGATTATTTCCAGTTTTTATAGTCCGAAGGAAATAAGGGTGCGATAAATTCTAGTCTTCATAATAACATTTCTTCTTGCGAGGTCGACGTAATTAGCACGGTGTACAATTTATAAAACGAGAGAGAGAGAGAGAGCGATACTTGGTACACTTTCATTAGTTTCCACAGAATCTCCACGACTTTTTCTCGACAAAATGGCGACGATCCCTCTGCCCACCATACTCTACCGTGTACTCCGATTTTTTTTTTATTTTCCCCTTTACTTTTTCTTCCTTCTTGCCTTTCTCTCTTTAAAAAGAATAAGTTTTAACTACTCACGCTAAAGCTATAACTACGAAGTCGAGCCAATTCCATGCATCTCTAAGATAGGTAAAAGGCTGCAGAATGAAACCCCTCGCCATCACCTTAACGGCGGACTCAAATGTGTAGATGCCCGTAAATATCACTCTGAAAACAACAAACACACCGCTCAGCTTTTTAAATGCGTCTCATGTGATTCTCTCTACCATCTAGCGCGCGTAATGTCACGCGTGAACGGTACTCTCGCGCCAAAAGTGTGATCATAGCCATAATTTCAGAGCGCGTAAAAATATTTCCACCGTACATCTCGTAACGATTTTCTATTCCTATAAATATATATATATATATTTGCCATTATAAATTTATGTAAATCTCACAACGTTAGAACTAATCTATAGTAAACTCACACAGAAGCATGCTGGTGATGAAATTACACATTAATTAACATGATCACTTTTGCGAGCGAGACTAATCGCATCTAAACCCGGCGTTAATTTCTGATGTCTATTTCCTGCAGTAATCTATTGGCATCTATTTCGTTGTATAAATTAACTACTACGTGTACTCGCATCTCGGGCACGGTACACGCGAACGAATTGTTCACGCGAGAAACAGTAAATAAAAAAGAATCCCTTATCGCCGTTGGCACAGCCGTAATGTTTCAATTAAACGCGAGGAATACGGTGGAAAAACAAAAGTAATAAAAATCAGGTTTTTGATTCATTTATATTGAAAATTAATGCTTTGACGATGGTTATTTATCTCACTGCTTAAAATGGTTGCGGTACGTTCTCTCAAATTTTGAGACATTCGCGACAATGAAATCCACCGCAAATTTGCATTGCACTGCATGTTGGATCGTTCGCGCGATTTGTTGCCCGTCGCCTAGTGCTATTTCTAGAGAGACTAGTACAAAACTTACCAACGGAATACAATTTATCACAGTGTCTACTCATATATTAGAGCTATAACATGTAGAACATTTCTTGAGGTATCTATACAACACAGGTGATCACGCCGTAAGCCTTCGATGAGATTCTTAAATAAATATCGAGAAACAGCTAAACGTGGCGAGCGAAAGAGACGAGTTAAATTTGGAAACTCAAAAGTAAATAACCGACGGCGATAAACGCATCTCCGGCTTAGGCACATGTCGGTAGACTAACAGCTATATATTAAAATTTGCAATTATTCAGTGGCAAGCTTTTAAGTGTGTATCGTCATCCCAGTCATTGCAGAATGCTTATACATCTTATCTTAGAAAATAAGAATATCTTTGTTCATTTTTCTTACATATTATTTGCAAAGTGTACGACGATGGAATTGATTTGTCGAACTGTTTCCTTGCGTCAAGTATCGAATGTTTCGAAAATCAATATTTGAAAAATAATGTCAAAACAGATAAGCAGGGTCTAATTAGGCGATAATTAAATATCACCATTGAGATGAATTGAACGATATACGTAAATAATTGCATGATAATCGCTGGCGTATTTTGTTATAAATATTAAATGGAATTAATAACGTTATTAATTTCTAACCGATATTAATTTTTAATACGGAATGAAATACCTACTCCTCGAAATTAAAGTCATTCCAAATCAGTGACAGAAAAAACGAAATACAAATTTATATAATTTTGCAAGGGATATTTTAAAAGACTTTTAAAGACTCCGAAGACTTTTTTTAAGGATCCAGATTTAAAGTTACGGTTTTGAAAATGTTAATTATTTTTCAAAGTTACGTAAATGTACAACTTGGTCACGTTCGATCGAAAATGGGGATTTTATTTTGTTGAGTGCATTTTATAGGATTTATTCCAGTGTGAAATTTTTAATTAGTCTCTTGAACAGTTTCGTTTCTAATAAGAGCGAAATAGTTTGCCTTTCCGCGTGATACAGGTAATTCGCTCATCCATCATCGCCGATAGAGTCACGATTCGCAAATGAGGGCGGCGAAAGATACTCACTCGGTGGACTCGATGGTGGGCGTGGTGGGCATGATCATGAGTATACAGTTAACCAATATTGTAGTGATGATGAAGAGGGAAAAGAGCGGGTGAACCAATATGTATATGGCCACGCGCCGTATAGGGTTGAACGGGTCGAGCAACCACATCGCGTCCGTCGCTGAGAATCTGAATATATCCTTTCCCTTGCTAATGACGACGAAGGTCTGTGAACAGACACGCACCACAAAATTCATTCGGTCAGATATTACGGACAAAAGTGCAAAAATAGATAATCCTTCGAGACAGTCGTTTTGTACTTGCGGAACGAACCGTGTGCTTTAAAGACATTAATGGAGGCTTTAATTAAAAAAGATATGCTTCTCGATGAGATCTCGTAGTAAAACAATTATTTCGGTTCAAGTGTAAACAAAGAGATTTCCCGAACGCGATAATTGATATAAAATCAATCGTCCGAGATAACCCGCGAAAAAATATATTTTTCAGGATGAATTTGCGGTTTCCGATTTCTACGCGTTTGTAGAAAATAATAAATGATCTTAATATAGACGTATGGCTTTTAACGCACCATTATAACCGTAAAATAGTTAGTCAAAGCAATTACGAAGTTGAAAGGCAAAGTTTGAAAATAGCTACGCCAGATGCAGCCATGGCGAGCGGCCGCTCTCTCGTTAGCGCCCGCTCTAATGTTCCGCATCTCGCGAAAACTGAGTTCCTCTAAAAGAGTTAAACTAATTAGTGCGTCAATGCCCGGTACCCTTTGATTGTGGTAGAAGGTATCAATATCCTCGAGAGGTGTGGAGGACAACTCGGGTGGAAATTCGTTGTGCAGTCGGACTGGAAGCGGCCCTCCCTGCTCAAACATTGGATCCGGCTGAGGACCTTCGTCCTCGTCCTCGTCGTCATACCGTACCTGCGAACGTAGATCCTCGTAAGATTACTTGTACAGGCGCGCATTTTTCACGCCATATCGTTATCACGGCATTTTGCCTCGGCAAAATGATGCCTCGGAGCTTCGCAGAAAAATATCGCAAGTAATTGAAATGTAAAAGATACATATCATTGTAATTCAAATTGTATCGAGAGAACAGAATTGGTTGAGTGACTGAAACATTCCTTTTGTCGAAGCGAATATGTCAAGGATATATGATGCCGGTGTACGAGGGTGGGGGGTGAAAGAAAATTGACCTCGCCCGCTTATCGTGCTTGAAAATTTGGTGGAAAGTCTTTTTAATGCGTTCTATTATTGTCATCATTTGAGCCGGGTGTGGAGAATCAAATTGGGCCATCGCATATATCACATTTCATATTCGAGTATCAAAAGTAAAAATAATGGAGCAATCGATGATGTAAATATTTCCAAAATACCGATTTCTTCGACCGTAAATTAAACGGACAATAGGGCTCGGCTATATATGCACAGCCGCGTGTCTACATTGGACGGTAACGTGCCGCGTAATACGGAATGTAATACAAAATTAATTTGCAAATATTTCAGCGATTCTTCGTTATTCGTGGCACAAGAATGCCATGTGTACAACGATACAAAAGAGATGTAAACGGAAATGCATATTACGATTGCGAAGCTTTTCTCGAGTATTATAAGGTGTAAAGGCACACTTCGGTACAATTGCAAACTTTTACAGTGTACACTAATTATTTGGCACTAACCGCTGTCGATTGCCAATTTCGTCAACTCACGCGCAATCTCTTCTGCACGTAACATTTTAGCATTCTTTTACACCGCCGAGTATCTTACGCGAGATTTTTTTTCATGGAAAAGTGACGTTGAAATATACATTTACGAGCACCCTGTAGCACGGCCAGAAATATAAACTTGACCGTATAGAAGGACGGAAACCGTATGGCATCGTATTTGACTCTCGTATGTAGAACGCGAGCGTGAAATATTCAGTGCCGTCGTATGAATATTCGAACAAATCGCTTCTTTGGAAATATTCATCCGCGTACTTTTCTAAGTGCACCAGTTATTCATAACCCGCTTTTAGATGAGCTCGATGCAACCGCATCGTCGTCGCCTGTGCATGTCGCGAAACAAAATCTCAACCGTGTGATCTAGTCGTGGAAACGGTAATAGTAAGCGTATATTGCGTGCGACTATCGCGTGTTCTAACGAACGAGTGGAAAATCTCCTCGTTTCATCTCGGAACGGCGAGGTATTCCGAGCGAACTTACCGAGTCCCGTGTTCGCTGATAAAATTCGGAATATTACCACTACGTTGCTTGTCGTGTATTTTAGCTAATAGCTTGCCACACAGTAAGACCACGGCGGCGTGAAAGGCGAAGCCAGCGGCGTCGAATACTGACATATTCGCGCTGCAAATTTGATCGGTGCTAAAAACGGGTCGTGAACATACGAACCTGAAGAAGGTCCACGCGATTCTTGCTCGACTTTCGGCCCCTCCTACGTCTCGAGTCTCTGGCGAGTCTTAATTAAAAATACTATTCCTATTTCTTTATTGTTTTCGTTTTCTACGCCGACTCGACTGTTACTAGTTTGCCTAACGCTCTAGACACAGTAGCTCTATTCTAGGGCTCTATCCGATCCGCCGTAGCGGAGCGCGGTAACCAGTCTTCATCTATTCAGGGCACAGTCGCGCACAAATTGATGTAAAAGCGTATGCATGGCAAATAAATGTCTAAACCGAAATAAAGCGCTCGGTATATATCTCCCCGTGGGCCCGGGGCGGTTCGTATTCTACGTTTATGCGCTTATGTAAATTTACGCGCGGTGAGTTTAAGGCCTTAACCGCTAAACGATCCGTCGCCGACGCGTTCACTTGGCGAACACCGGTAAAATGCGGCAAAATCCCGCGGACGGTGGGGCCACGAGATCCGTTCGGTCGATCTCGCGGGCGCGCTCATATACCTCGGCATTGCGGTGCCATTTGGAATTACGTGTTGAGAAATTTAGGCAAGTGTCCTAGCACCTAGATAAAAGGCTACGCTAGAGTCCGTGTACGGTCTAGATGACTAGGTCTAAGGTTGCGCAAGCCAAAGTGCCCGCCGAGCCCTGCGCGCGAAAGCTCTAAACTCGTGCTCGTGCGTGCCGAAAGTTTCGAAACTCGTGGCCGAATCTCGAGGGGGGGGGGAAGGACCCGTCGTATCTCGCGTACGACCCGGTGCATTATCGGATTCGACCACGAGGAAGCGTAACAAGCATAGTGCGCGAGAAACGCCGGAAGTGGAGCCCCCGCTCTCGCGCGAACTTGACTCTCGCGGAATAACAAACGCGCCGCGAAGGCGCCGTCGGAGATTAAGATTGTTCCGAACTGTCACCCCCGCGTCTCTCCGCCAGAATGGCCAAGTTCCCACGTCGTGGAACTTGCTATTATCGCGGCCAACCATAAATCAATACGATTCTTGAGGCTGCTACCGCGCGCGGCTGTGCGCGGCTCGCGCACTTTGCTTCGAAGGCAGCTGCGGCGGTGCGCGCTGGTTCGTCGAGAAATTTCAATGAGAAAAACAGACGGGATGGAGAAAGTCAGCGTAAGCGTTGCACGTATGGCATACGATCTGTATAAGCGTTCACCAGGCGACCGCGACCTCCGCTCGAAATATTTATGTCGTACGTTACCGCGCATCTCCGTATTGCCACTTCGTAGGCGGTTTTCCCGACGGCGGGACTTTTTAAGACCGCGCTCATATATTACGCATTTCAATTTATCGCTCGCAAATATGCGCGCGAGTCGGGCGCGCACCAAGTACTCTTGCAAATCAGATACATCGGGTTTAATGCATCTTTTAACTCGTACACCTTGAATCATTGCGTGACCGAGTCTGGGATTAATTGTGACAGCTGTGGTAAGATACGTTCGTTTGTCGCGAAAGAATTTTGGCACGCAATCGCGAGAGATGTACCGCTCGATATAAATTGCCCGTCTCTCTCGAGGATTCGAAACGTGGCGCACTTGTCACTCCCCCGCCCCGTAACAATTGGTCCCAGGCTCGCTCCTAAAAGCGTATCGTAGAGCGCTCTCAAAGCACAGAGATTCTGGAAGCAACGAATATTTCGAGAGAAAGCCGCGCATTAAAAGCGTAAGCATAGCTCGCTTCCGATCGTAAGACGTCAAGACACTGGCCAAGAAACGTATATTCGTGTATTTGCAACAACCAAGGGGCAAAAGCACGCTGCCTTGTATCGTGTGTGTGCGTGTGTGTTGCGTGTGTGAGTGTGTGTATGCGCGTGTGCAAGTTATGAGACTTTATCACCATGTTCGCTGGCCACGATGTAATATCGAGAAGGGGCGGATACGTGTTCGCGATCGCGATAAGGGAGATACCCGACATTGAGATATCACGGAGGCGAATCGCGCGCGTTGCCGCTAAGAATAGTCCCCCCCGAATTAATTAATCAAAACGTTTCGAATTCAATGCCTCGCGGATTAAACTTGCACATCTTTGGTATCCGGTCGATATATCGATTCGGGATGATGACGCTCGGGAATCAATATACACCGTGGCACGCAGAAAACCAGGGATTGAAACCTTCGCGACCGCGACCGTCTAACTCGCGGGCGAACACAAGTTCCTTCTTCAATCAATCGTGACGTTTGGGAAGGACTCGGATTTGAAAGGTCGCGAGAGTTGCCAAGACTGTCACGGGCAATGCATCGGAGAAAATATCGCGTCGGAAAGGTAGCGTTTTGCGAAGTATACCATTTTGTTTTATAGCTCAAGGTAACAATGACAAAATTCCCTCGTAAAATTCTCTGAGGGGGGAAATGCTTAAATGTCAAAGATTAATGAACAGATGAAAAAAACGCGACTGAACGAAGGATCTGTAAATTAATAACCCAAGTGAAAATCCGTATGTAGAATTTCAATACGAATGCAGCTCCGAGTACGTTACGGAGACGTGGAGTGGCCCGAAAATTTTCTGGGACGTTCGTGAGAAACTGTAAAGTTCATTATTCTTGTTTTCAATCCCTGCGCACAAAATGCAAGCGAGTATTGTATCGTATGTGTGGCGTAATGTTGGACAGTGAGTGAGTGACGCGTGTGTGGTCGATCGATCGGCCAAATGCTGCCGAGTGAGGAAAAATCGTGAGATCGTGTGCGTGTCTGTTTGCGCACGTGTTCACGGTGTGTACGTGTGTATGCGTGATGCACGTATGTATGCCGGCATACGTGACGTGTACGTGTGCACGTGTGCATGTTAGTAGTAAGGTAGAAGAGTCGGATGTGAGATAGAGAGAGCGGTATTACTTAGCGTGACGTAACGTCTTACTTCTTTTTTCTTTTTCTTCCGTCCATAACCTCCCTGAAATTGGAGAAATGGAGAAACAGTCGTTACACATAGAGATACAGAGAATACGGGGGATATGGGTGAATGAACAGAGTAGAAAAAAAGAGAATATGCCAATATGCAGTAAGAAGGGGACGGGCGCGATAAGATGGGATCAGTCGCAGCTCTCGGGAACTGTAAGAAACTGGATCGGCCGATGTTCGGAAAAGAGAAACAGAGAGAGAAAGATTAAAAGGATAAATGGCAGGGAAGGGAGTAGAAACACATTGTTACATCACGACATAGACACACGACAGAGGAAATACATAGGATTAGACAAGCCGGAAAGTGGGTTTCCAAGCACATCAAGCTTGATCGGGACTGGATTAACTGTTGGGAAAACGCGGATCGTCTGGGAATTCGAGGATACTTTTCACAGAGAATTACGTGTCCGTGTCGTTATCAATTATTTTAAGATACTTTGGAAAAGTTTGCTAGCGCGTAGACTTTAAAAACTCTGTAGATTCTTCAAACGATTGATTGTAACGAAGAGCAGAGAACGTAATAATCTTATCCGTCTAAATGTGCTAGTTGATCCACAAACTTTGCAATATATTTACAAAAGTGCAAAAATAGTAGGCCGATATATTTTTAGATTTTGAAAATTTATCACAAAGAGGGAGAGCGAGAGAGAGACACGATCGATGATAATCCAGTCTTGATCTCGCTTCTCTCTCGTTCTCTCCTTGACCTTTCATCGCTAGAGTATAATACAAGGAGGCAATAAAAGGAGAGGATTTGCTCCTCTTGGGGAAAGTAATTTTCAAACAGCGCGATCAATGTTGAACGATAGACGCGGAGGAGGAGGAGGAAGGTTAATAAATAAATCCGCTCCTTTTATCGGCGTTGCTGTTATAGCCGTGGAGCAAATTAGGATCGCTAATTATAAGGATGTAAGGGACTCATTCGTTGGATTTACATTAATACGCTTCTCCGTGATAATCATCTCTCATCGCGTGGCACTCGCGCGTTATTCATTAACGCGAGTGCGACGAGAGGAAAGAGTGGAGGTAGGCCATGATACATGGGCGATATCCACGCACATAAATATTGTATATGTATATATATTTATATATATATGTATTTATGTATAAGTAGGCACAGAGAGATAAGTGGCACTGCAGACATCGAGCTTTGTACGTGACAATATGTATCTTTCGTAACACACACAATACTCTCGATGACAGATGTATGTGTATGTATATATATATATATAAACAAATGGGTTTAAATAGTCGTTGGTAGAGAGACAGTTACATCCTCACTACGTTAGCGATAGATCAAGCGAACAATCAACAGGACAGTCGAATGGATCAAGGGGAACGAGTGAATTTGTTGCAATTTGACATATGTAAGAGAAGAATGGGAAAGAACAGATTTCGCATACGGCGCTACAGCTAGGCGTAGGAAAGTTAACGATTAGGCAACTCGTACTTAAGATCAGTCGACAAGGGGGAAATGAATATATCGGAGAACGTAATGTCCCTTTCGAGAGAGAGACAAAAATATTCAAGTTGAATATCGCGGTCTAAATGTGGTTAATATTGATGTGTACTTAAAATCTCATTGTTTGTTTGTTCATGTAAATTGAGTTTTATATCGAATACATTTGACAAGTGCGATACCGTTTCGTTGCTCTTGATATTTTCGTACTTCATCCATTTCGCATTCTGTTTAGTCTCTATCTGGTTTGTTTGATTACGTATTCACTTTACCGATTAAAAATGTTTGGAAAGAAAACAAAATTTAGCGAAGACACAGGACCGAGTGTAACAGAATCTTAAGTACGAGCGGCATTCTTAGTGCGAAACTTTTGTTTAGCGCATTTACAGAAGCGCCTGTAGGCGCAATGGCTGTCAGTTCAGAAATTTTCCGAAAGCTCTAAGATGATTTGTTGCGCAACAGGATTTTCAATTTAAATGAACGTTATATCCTTTTCGCAAAGACTTGTAAATTTTTATTGTTACATTGCTCGTCTCGTATGACCATATATGTACACGTGAATATGTACAAAAAGGACAGTAATTACACAAGAAGATCAATTGATCGCACAGTCGAGCTTGGCAGAAAAATTAGCAGCGTCAGATAAATATACCCGCTAGCGTTAATCAATGTATGACTAACTCAAAAATTACACAACGGATAACAACAGACTCGAAATAGCGACACGAGTTTGGAGAACAGTAAGCATATGTACAACGAACATTTACGCAAAGCATATTGTTTTTTTATATATTTTTTTTGTTGGAATTACCGCTAGGATCTTTTTAGAGTTCAAACAATATCTCTTGGAGACTTCCGTGAAATAATTCCGAAGTATCGGAATTGCCTGACGCGCGATCGTCATGGGACGACCGCGTCATTTATTTGGCGCTACTTAAGGGATATTCCTATACGAAATACGCACATGACGGATTATGTGTCGATGTAGTTAATGCGCGAAGTAAAAAACGCGATCGTGCAACGAGCGCAATACGGTCGCGTTCATACCTCGCCTTCCGCTCTTCTCTGCTGAAGCTCCTTTTGCCTGGCCTCTTCCTCGGCGATACGAGTCCCAATCGCTGCCAGGGATTCCCGCGTGAACGGACGGAACAAACTTCTTTCTTCCTCTGATATAGAGTCAGAATCTTCGGACATTGTCTAGGCTGCGCACAGCTGAGCCACCTTCCTGCGAATGCGAAATCGCGATGAGCGGGCGAGAGCGCAACGTGAGACCGGGCGAGAGAAGACATAGGAAGACAACAGGAAGAGGAAGGATAATAAAAGAAGTACTGTCGATAGACCAACGTAAATCAAAATCGTTACATCTGAGACAGTTCGGGGCTCAATATTGGATCAACGATGAGAATACCGTGGAGTCCGCGAAGCTGTTAAATAATTGCGAAAACAGTTAAAAGAGAGACTGCTTTAGCTGTGCGAGACGAGGATTCGTGACGACGCAAACTGAAGGGCGCGATTCATCGCTAATAACCGGACTCACGTTTGATCGGTGCTAACAGTTCCGGAAGTGTGGTGTGCGCGTGTCCCACGACGCGGGGGGGTAGTAAAGTTGCTGCTGCGGCTGACGGGGACGACGGGTCCGGTGCTGAAAGCGGCGCGACTTGCCGGCTACCGGCCGGTTCCTGGGCGTCGTCGATTCCGGGCGCGTCGTGCCGACGATGCGGTCACACGACGCCGTTACGTACGGTCGGACGGATAAGGGCGCTCCGTGCAGCACGTCGATTGCCGATCTGCCGCTGCTTTTGCTCTCCCTCTTCTTGTCGATCGCCGTCACGCGATTACTGCTGCTGCTGTTGCTGATGCTACTGCTGCTGCTACTAATGCCGTTGCAGTCGCTACCGCTACTTCTAGTTTTGTTCCTGTTGCGGATGCTGCTCTTGCTGCTGCTGCTGCTGCTACCTGAATCTCGTTCCAACGAAATGGCGACGAGAAATGACGAACGCGCTGCGGCAGTGCGTGCTATGTCGGGGACCGTCCAACGCGAACCAAGATTTTTCATGTCCGACCTAAGAGGAGTCGAGCAAGCGATGCGTTGCGATAAGAAGATTTCGTAAGCCCGATGGCCCGTCGGGCGGTGTAACACATAGCTAACAGTTGGTTTCGTCAAACGACGCTACACCGCGTGTCAACGTTTGTTTTATCGACATTTCCCGCGGTGCAAATTGCGAAAGTTGAACGGCGAAAGAAACGGACTTTAAGGTCACGTGTCCGACCTGACGTAAGTCTTAATTATAGAAACGTGATTAGTACTGATATTTCAGTTAGTATTTCTCGAAATATCACGAGGTCTCGTGGAAGTCATTAGTGAGTAACGTCTCCGAATAAAAGAGCCGTGCCTGCAAATAGACCGCCACCCCTTTTCGAAAAGTGCATACTCACGTGTAAATGAAGCGACGGGTGCGATCAATCCGTTATCCGAAATAACATAGTCTAGTCCTCGATCGATTTTTATCTGCAACAGAAACAGAGAGGCCAGATGAGTGCGTTGATCCTCCGATTCATAACGTTAAAAGTTGATACAACACGCTTCGTGCAAGCCACGAAATCTGCATAAACCTGTTATCAACTGTCTGGCGCGAAAATACTTTACGAGACTACATTGGATGAGAAACATTTCTATCGTAGATCCGTCGCGACCCGACGCGAGCGTATCACAATTCAATCCCGAGTCTTATTTATAATACTGATTAAGTCGACATACGATATCTACGATTCACGAATAAGACCCAGGCTTCGCGCGCTGATGACGCAAAGGATCGCATTTCCGCCGCAGGAGCCCAACTTGCCAGCAAGTAGAAACGCGAGGCGATCTTTTCGGGGCGATTTTTGCGCTCGGGATGCGAATCGCCGGAAGATAAACACGCGCAAGTGGTAAACTGGAGACCCTGTGATCAGAGACTGGCCATAAGAGTTCGTCAAAGTGCCGCGAGTGAGAGAGAAACATAGGCCATCTCACTCTTCTACGATCGTAGAATCGTAGAGCGATATGTCCACGTCTCGAGGGACCTCTAACTTGTTCATCGCGGCCACTCTGAGTGTTCGACTCTCCACGCCATTGTGTTCAGATAGAGACCCTGTAATCAGAGACTGGCCACAAGAGTTCGTCAAATTGCCGCGAGTGAGACAGAAACATAGGCTATCCCACTCTTCTACGATTCTAGCCCATGTTTTTCTCTCACTTGTGGGAATTTGACGAACTCTTGTGACCAGTCCCCAATCACAGGGTCTCTAGTGGTAAACGATCGCGGACGTCCGCGCGCTCGCGCGACGGGGGAGGGAATTTCGCGCGGATCGTGCCGGCACCCCTGTACACAGGCGGAGTCGCGGAAAGGTGTCGGTGGTCTTTGACCGAGTTTCTCGCGGTCGATCATATTCCGCCGAAACTCGGTCACATGCGCTTATGCATCGGCGGGCGGCGGCGCGGCACCGAGCGCGCGGCCCGGCGATACGCAACGTAGGAAAAGTAAGAGTGAAGGGCTGTTGTGTTCGCGCCAGTGGAACACGCACATGCAGAGGGTACTCGGTACCAACGTCCGAGTTCGACACGCGGAAGTTGTCGCCGATATTTACGGTATACAGCCGTGCCATTCTTTCTATTTACTCTTTCTCTCTCGGAGCTTTCAAGGCTTTTGCTCGCCGGGAAGGAGAGACCGCGAAAAGTCTCCCGAGCAGTTTCCACGTGTTCGTAGACAGCGCGGGATATTTGCGAGGATTTATAAATCGCGACTATTACCCGCGTGATGTGGTCGTTGTTCTTGTTTTCTTTTTTCTCTTTATCGCCTCGCTATCTGTGTTGACGAACGAGATCCACATTTTTGGACAACCTGTACGATTATGCGATTGATTATTCAGGAAGAACGCGGTGTATTCGTAATGTAAATATCGTCTTTCTTGTGATAACTGTTGAAACAGCAAATTCTTTCTTTATGACGAAAGAAATCGCGGTCATTCATAAAACCATGAGTTGCTTAAATTCGCTCTTTCGCGAGGCTTGTGCGATACTTATCCTCATTATTGTATTTCTTACAATTTCGTTGTATTTTCCGTATTTGCATAGTCCGACCTACTTAAGGTACAGTACCCAACCCTTGCGTTGTAAATGCCGATGTGAGCGATGGTATATCATAAACATACAGCAACGGACGTTACGTAACTGATCATCGTGAGAGCAGATAAATTAAGCGTTGAAATCTGCGTGTAATCGATTCGTGCAATTTTCATCCGTTCGTGACAATTTTCACGTAAATTAAACTATTAAATTGCTTCCGTAAAACCTTGTCGAAAAGATTTAACAGCAAAGTTTCACGGCTCGACAGTGGACACGACTTTAACATCCTTGTTAATCCAATTACCGTGCTAATTATGAGAGTGAATATAAATCAAAAGGCATTTTCCCTATTTGTCCCGATAAATTAGCGTCACATTCGACTATCTCGGCTAATGGTATATCGCGTTGCTGCGCCGAATAAATCGCAGAAGTGGAACGGGTTATACCTTGCTCCTAGCCGCAACATAAAAAAAAAGAAAAACGACAGATAGGGTCGCGTAGCACGACTCTTATTCCGACGTTCTCGTTACTAATTAGACATTCATGTACACGTAGCAAGAGCAATTACGTTACTTTTAACACGAGAGCATTATCGCGCTTTACGTTGTATAGTTGTCTTGTGGTTTTTCCGTTTTACGAAGGAAATCGATGATTTACAACCTCACGAGATGGTCAACGCGCGAATCGCGTGTCTCGAATCATTTAATGCATGTCCCCTACCCCCCTTGCCTATAGCTGCTTTAGATCGTAACGTGAAATTCGCGCATTGTGCTTGAAATGTGTGATATTACTCGTTCATTATAAAATTCCACGAATGCACAAAAACATGACAGCGCGCGATCGTCTCCATTCGCTTGCGCCTAAATCGTAGCCCTTGTTTTACAACGTTTAACGCAAGCACAGTAAAAAAAGACGTACATATAAAAATTGCAATTGAATCTTCCACGTGGGAAAATAATGAATTATTTGCGACTTTTGCTTTGTTTCGCTAATACTTTCCTCTAAATCTGAATGCGACTGCAATTTTGTAATTATTATACAGAAGCGCCGAAGCTGTGGGTGGATGTCAACGTCGAAATACCGTACTCTCTTACGTTTGATCGGGAGTAGATCGGATTAATGTTATTTTGATATTAACTTGACTCATGGCCTTTCGCTCGTACACTCGGAATACTTTGCGGGACAGTGGCGAGAAAGAGATTTTCTTAATTATTCATTAAGTGGCATTATACAGAAGCCGCGAAATAATCAGCCAATTTCCCCGGTACGTATCGAATGTGCGCTTGAACGGAGCTTGTATTTCATGGATATAGAAATGCAATAAAAAGCGGCGCTCTGCCAGCGTGCGAAGCAAGAAGAAACGAGGTCAACTATATCTGCGACAAATCGGCCTTCATCGAGAAATTATACGCGGTAACTGAAACGGGCGACTACACCGAGCTTAACGAGTAATATTTCTGAAAGAAATTACTGTTTCCCGATTCCCTTTCTGACCCTTCGTATTTGCCAACCAAAGCGCAAATACGCTCTCCACGTCGCTCGCAGCCAATTGGCCTCCCGATTTATTCGAGCTGACGCTTCCGCAGAAATTGTCTACTTTTTGCATCTTTATTTAAACAGTAAGAAACACATGTATGGCAACCGGAAAAAAACCGTTGAGTGTGATCAGAATAATAATGGTGGCGAGTGTGGCGCAGAGAAATGTGCGCTGCTTAGTAACCAAATGAACGAAAAGATCCGAGTTCAAATCCACGGAAACCGCTGGTTTTTTAAGGAATCTTCCGAAGGGAAGTGGCAATCACCGACAGTATCTTGCCACACATACCACTTTAGGTGTGTAGCCCTCCAGATGGGAGGTTTCCTTCGGCAAGGTTTAGCAACCTACCGAAGATGCAGTAAGACCAAATGCTCAAAGTACCCGAACGAGAACTGGATAAAACAGGCTTTAAGCCTAATACACGAGGAGGAAGAAGAAGAAGAAGAAAATCTGGGGAGAATATAAAAAGCAAGAATTAATATAAAATATTGAATGTAAAAGTCAGGCGTGCACAGAGTGTGTAGGAGGAGGAAGCGTTTAATCGTGAATTCTTTAATGTAGAAGGATAAAGGAACCGTCGAGTGGAGAGACACTTTAATATAACAGTTGACGCGGATTACAGAATTTGCCCGCTGAACGATACAAACGTAAACCCGGTGATTTATATTAAATCCAAGATTACGCGCGCAATAACGTCCGAATTTGATGTGATCGCAGTTGTGCTGGTAGGTGATGGTCCACGGAATCCGATTTATGATCGTGAACGGGTTAATGCCAAACGGAACGCGGGGAGCATTATACCAAAACACTTTTCCGTACGTCGTTTGTCCGGATTGCGGATCAATAAATAGCCACAGTGCATACATCCGCGGCGTCGCATCGTACGAAACGATGCGCGATCCATTTCAATTCTGACGTGCACGCGGAAATGAGACACGATTCGGCGCAAACGAGTCAGTCATCAGCGTTCCAATCAGCCTTGACGTTTCTTCTAATAACAATCTCGGGCCGAGGCATACTTTCAGTAAATTAATATACGCGTATCGTACAGCATTACGATTGGCCACCGAGTCTCGGTACGTAACGTCAGAAAGCAAAAACGGCAGAGAAACTCTGTAAAGATATTTCTAAGGTTTCACGTTGCTTTAATCTTAGTTCGTCTCTTCCTAAAGTAACAGTTGAAAAGAGACAAAGAATGAATCAAACTAGGCTTAAGGTTAAACAACGTTAGCGAAACCGGACCTGATAGATTTCCTGTAACTAACCCCCAGAAAAATGTTTTGCAGTTTGATAGCGGTTTTATTTAATCAAACGGGAATGTTGTTATTCAATTAATTATTGTCACACAGTATTGTTCAGTGATTAAGTACCTTTTACAGAGAACGTATATCGATCGCATTAACTTGCAATTCAAACAGCATCCGGGTTGATGCACTTGACCCGACAGCGGGAGATAGATATCTCGCGCGTTCTTAAATTTCGATATTTTCGCAATTATCTTTATACAGTACCGGCCAAAATTACACCACCTTTAGGCTTTCCAAGCATGACTTTCGCCAAAGAGCATCGAATGTGCTAAAAATTGTACAGTGGACACCTGATAACAGGTGCATCTTGTACGTAATGGAATTTGACAAAATACACACCATGCTTTTCGGATTTTGCATTTTTGCACTTTAAAACTAGTTACGCTCAAAAGATCAAAAGGTGATATAATTTTGGCCGGTACTGTGTAACATTTTCCGTGTATTTTCATTCATTCTGGCGTACAGCGTAAAATTTTTCCTACTGAAACAAAACTGCAGGTCTATTGACATACGTTGGTGTATCCACGAGTTAAGTGCGACAATAGCGATAGTCCTGAACG